ACACGCCACAGGGCCGATCTGCTGGAGTGCAATCTGAGGCATGACATTTCCTTGTGCCCTAAAAGTACCTTCCACTAACGCAAGCTTGTGAGGGTCAATGGCATCAGGCACTGGCAATTTAGCCTTGGGTGCATTGGCCTTGGTTCGTTTCCCAACTGGATTTCCTTTGTTCATCTGCACGACTGCATCAAGCTCATCTGGCAAGATGAACTGGAACTTGACATTGGACCCCAGGGCCTTGAGGGATCGCCACACAGTTTTGGACTTCAGGGCAGTTGATACATTGTCACTTCCAATTGCCTTGATTGCAAGCTGTGCACGCTGCTCAGCTTTGGTGTGAGGGACTCCATGTTTCTGGAGCTCCTCAGCCAATTGGGTCACCAAGGGGCCAAAAGGACCATTCCCCCACGCAACTGGACAGATACAACAGTTCCCTTCATACAGGGCTTCAACAAACTCCGCTCGCATTTCAATATGCATGTCAGCAAGTTGAGACGGGTCTTGCGGCGAAGGCGACTTCACCAGCAAATGTGAAATGAAAGCAATTGAAGCAGCTCCACACATGTCATGCGGCGGAAGTGCATCAGGAACCACATGTTCTACTGCAGATTGAAATCCCAGGCATTCCTGCAAAACATTCAACACCGGCATGACCATCTCACTGGTAACTTTCTCATCAGCAATTCTGTGCGCAATGATAGTGGACCGCTGGTGGGTGAACCACAAAGGAAACCAGTGTGCATCAGCATACAAAACGGCAACCACCTGATACCCTTGGGAGATTTCTTCAACATTGGCTCGGCACCAAGCTTCACACAAAGCACGGCCAGCAACATCCCATGTGGCCAGAAGCAAAGGATCCATCATGACAAAACCCCCTGAAACATCAGAGGGGGGTGCAGTTTCCCTCATTCGCATGAGACGCAACATGTGAAATCGCACTTCATCATCACCCCATTGTTTGCCATGGGCTTGCAGAAGATCAAGTCTCTCTTCTTTGGAGATACACTGATGTGAAACACTGATCGTGTCACGATCAACACGCACTTCGGAAGTCACTGCATTGGGCAAGGCATGGGTTTCCTCATGAATGGATTGGTCAAGGGTAGTGTCCTCTTCATTGTCACCAGACCCCCAAATCCAAGGCCGGTGGGCAGTTGAAGAGTGTTGGAGCGCCAAGGCAAAGGCATTTCTCAGTTTCTGGTGCACAGACACGACATCTTCTTGGCAAGTGGGCAGCATCACATCAAGCAAATCATGGATCAAGTAAGCCACAGCCATGGCACCACACATGTCAGATGTGAAAAACAAGCGATGATGTCGTACCATGGTCACCTGGGCAAAACCCAAAGCATGTCCAATCCTTTCAGTCACCAAATTCATGGAGGTGTGATCACGTGATGGAGCATCCCATGTCTTAATTTGGAGTACGCCAGCAACAGGTTGCATCACAACTGGCAACCAATGTCCATCCAACATGCAACATGAAATGAGGGGGCATCCCTCTCTCGCAATTTCAGGATGTGACTCAGCCCAGGACATGCAACCCTCACTTCCATGATGGACCCATCCAGTCAGCAAGAGCGGGTCCAGCACAGCACATGTCACCACGGTGGGTTTGGCTAATCTCTGTTGATACTGTACATGCATTTGCACAAGTTGGCACAGATGGTACCGAAATTCATCATCTGCCCACACACCATGCTGACGTTGCAAAATGAGGCACCGATCATCAGGTTTCAATGTCTGTTGCCGCAATGCCCAAAGGTGACTCACATTCATGACGACTGGTGTCTTCAACTGCATGAATTGGTCAGCCTGCAGTGAAAGCAAAGGGGCTGCAGAAAGCATGAAATCACCAGTATTACCAATAGATGTCAATGGCATCTTCTCATTGGCGTCATATGGAACCGTGGCATGGATGGCATCCAAATTGGGATCAAGCACAGGTTGGGACCACACTACCGTAGGTGAAACAGCACTGGGTGCAGGCAGCACCCCACCAGTGGTTGCATTGCCATGTGGGTGGTCTGGGCAAAGATCCATTGGAGCCACTGCATCAACTGGCGCACCAGCATCTCTTGGCATGAAAGGATGAGGGTCACAATCCACAAACACTGCATGTCCAACTTCAACAACCTGGTTCAAAGGGACTTCAATACCTTGAAAATTGCAAACCCTACGGACTGAGAAGGTGCCAACCAGTTTCTCCTGGGCAGAGATCAACTCCTGCACAGTACACGGAGCAGGCATCGCAAATTTGACCGGAGTTTCACGTTCATGCAGGAAAACAACCGCACATTCATGTGAAGAGACATCTGGCGCAACCACCAGGGGCTCAGGGACTTCAAACCATGGGGTAGGTTCATGATCCTCAAGCATGTTTTCATCAGCATCAACTTGTGTCGGCTGAGGCACGAGAGCTGGCTTTGCCTGCGCATCACGAATGATCAAATCAAGGACAGAGGCTATGCAAACCTGGTGACCTTCAAGCTGTGGCCATCTCGGTGGGTGCATCAACTCATGAATGGACAAGTGTTCAAAACCTTTCCAAAATCCCATCAACGATCGGAGATTCACGTCAGTGATTGGTTCTTCAGAAACTGGCCACACCTGCCTACACCTCATGATTGTCCAGGATATGAGCGCCTGGAGCATGGCTTCTGCAGAAAAGGTGGACGTTGACTGTTTCATCTGATGAATCCGCTCAGCTAAGACCGCAAAAATCCATGCAGTTTGCAGTGGAGAGGCCATCTGTCCAGATGCTGCAAGCGTCAGTCTGGGGTTGGCCCCAAAGTCAACCACCGGATCAAACCCATTCAGTGCATTGCATTCGCAAGGATGAATGTGCCTCAACTGTCGGTGAAAACTGGCTGAATACACCAACAATCCAAACAGGCCTTTGTCACTCAAACGGAAAGGGGAGGGACCTTTAGATCTACACCCGCACTGACATCCAACCACTTGGCTACCCCAGGCGTGAAGCGCACATGGTGCACATCCCTCAAAGTTGAGTAGATACTTGGCAAAATCAGCACTTTCAGCCCCAAAAGCGTCCAACTCTTCGGGGAGTAGGGCCAACAACTTTTCATCCAAATCATCCCAAGGCAAGATTTGTGGCAAAACATGCAACACTTTGGAAACCACATGTGATGTCGGCCATGGAACCAAAGGAACTTGCCCTAGAAATGGAGAAGTGATCAACCACCATGCTCGTGAGCGTCGGGATGGCCACACATCTTGTAAATGGAGTTCCGTTTGACTACAGCAGAAACCTGTGACTTCCAGAAACCGGCGAATCTCATCTTTCACAAAGGCATCATTGGCGGCTGCCGTAACACACTCTAAGATGAGTACTTGAACCTGCAAGTAAAATGCTGTTTCAAGGATGCCCCTCAAGGAAAGGGCTCGGATGTCAAGGCCTCCCTTCTGGTCTCCTAACTTCGAGAATGGTTGGCAGGCAAAGCCTGCTGCGATAGTTCCCACTCCCTTTGCTAGGTGCCAAATCTTGCATACGGTTTCCATGCTACAGACATCGCCTACCACAGTCTCAACATCATGCTGTTTCTTGTACAACTGGCAAAACTTCTCGTTAAAATCGACAGCTGCGACAGTGTGAAAACCACATGCTGAGATCCCTTGAGACATGCCACCGAAACCTGCGCACAATTCCAAGACTGCATGTAATGAGTCCCATGATGGTGGTTCATGCTGGAAAACTTTGGTAGCCTCATCCACAACCAAGATAGGCTTCGGATACTGCTGCTTCATCAATCCATGCATGAATGTGTAGACTTCATTCGAACCATCGATCAAACCCTCAACATAAAAGTTCACTTTGTCACTCCTGGAGATGAACAAGTGTCTCTCATGTGAACTGTCCCAACATTTCAGATGCCCAACAATATTCAGTCGTGACCCAGGTAAATGATCCGCAAACAGATGTGGGAATGTCCCAGCCATGGCAAGTGAGGCAAAAACGTGCCCCCGCTCGGAAAGGATAGCTGCACCGCTGAAAGGGGGATTGGGCCACCGCAGCTGTTCCAAACCACCAACCAGTACTCCTTCATTAAAAATTAGAAACATCTTGGACATGGAAAGTCAGATGACATCCAAAACAGCTCGTTATTGACACCAGCAAGGCCCAGATCATAATGGGTCAATATCGCATCCCGAACTGGCTTGGCCATAAGACTAATGGATAATATTAGTAGATTAAAACCATACAAAAAATATAGCTATCTACTATATAATATGGTTTATTAAATTATCAGCTGGTGAACGTAGATAATTACATTGACACCCAAAGACTAGTTAGGATTACCCTCTGGTAAACTAACATAACTATGGAAAATCACAATTTTTAATGGGTAAATCCACGAACTAAATGGCCATTTCCAATAGCTATGTAACAGTCATTACCAGAGGGTAAGTACCTAAAGATTGACCTAGAAAATGTGGAACCCCTTGAACCCTTGAACCAGAAAATAGCTCACTCATCTACGAAAAACCACGGTAAACACTCCGAGAAAAATGTCAACATGTTGGTTTGTCTGAAAGTCGAGTACCCCAAATTGAGATCTTTTTTTTTGCAGTTTCCCTATGAAAAATGCAATTTGTGGGTGGCATAACCCACTTTCAGACACGCCCATTTTTTGTTGCTTCGTTTTAAATCCCAATGTTTTTTTCCTGGCTACATTAAAAAAAACAAGACAACAATTCTCAATTAGATCATAACCACCGAGACCACTTGTTCCAACAGTAAATTGCTTAAACTTCTCATGTTTTATCATGAAACATCTGCAGAAACATCTGGGTAAATTATAATATGTCACTAACCGGAATCTTGCGGCCATTTGGGGATGATTTCCCTAAAATAAACCATGATTCCAGGGTTCGGGAGAACAGGGTTCGGTCGTTATAATTTCCCCAGAAACGTCAATTTTCATGGCTAAATCCCAGCATTCACCCAGAGCTACGACACACTCGCGCCAAGACACTCGACGACTGGTGCGGATGGCATTCTCCATCTTCCTGTGATGGAATCCGTCGAGAAACAGGGGATGAGTCATTTTTTTTCAGCCAAGGAACCACAGATTGAAATGTAGATCTTCAATAGCAGCTAATGATTGTACCCAATTTTGACCTATACCCATGTCGAAAAAAAAACAGGTAGATGATTTTCTGAACGGGAAACCAGAGGCTTTCCAACTCTATATTAGTTTACAGGAGGGTATCTTAGTCAGTTGGTAAATGTCCTATTTTTTTCGCCCCAACAAAAGGTACTTCAAGGTGATGTGAAACAAATCCCCACAAAGGGACATAAATGCAACCTCTGTTAATCCAGTCTCCAGTCCGATAATCGTCCCAAATTAGAATTGATGAAAAGTCTAAATGATATTTGGTAATCTTATGATTATCATTATGATGAATGGTTTATTATTGCTTTACCAACATTACTTGGACTAGGAATGTTCCTATATTACCATTAAGAACTATTAGACTATAGTCATATCCCAGTTAATAGTTTACCCCAGTGAATAATTACTGATTATTTTTACAACTATTAATTGGACTATACTTGTAACCATTACTACCATTAATACCCTCTGGTAAACTAACACAACTATGGAAAACCATCATTTTTTAGAGGGCGGCACCCCGTGGGGGAGTGAATTTTCATTAAAAATGATGATAAAACACTGTAAATACCGGGGCCGTTCTTTTTTTTGTGGGTAAATCAACGAACTAAATGGCCATTTTCCAGTTCGCTATGTAAACGTTTATCTGAGGGTACGTTCCATTAATCCCTATTGATCACCATAAAATCCCATGGAGAATCCCATTAAAATCCCATTAAAATCCCATTAAAATCCCATTAAATCATCATTTTCAATGGGTAAATCCACTATAAATCCACTATAAATCACTATAAACCACCATTTTCAATTGGTAAATCCACTAGATCCACTATTTCTACGTTAGTTTACCGTAACGGGTAACCGTGACTTCTCACCACGGTCGGACTTCCGAGGCCCTGCTGCGGACGCCTAAAGACTTGATCCAGCAGCTGCCGTTCCTTGCGCAGCTGGTCGATCTGCGTGCGAAGCCTGGCGGATATTTTTGGAGGGATCCAACCGATGATTATAAGTATTAATAATATATATCTATATGTATATATCTATATCTATATATATATATATCTATCTATCTATCTAATTTAATAATGGCAATAACTATAGAACTAGAACTAGAACTATAATAGTATTAACAAGTTTCTAGAGCATTAATATTGGTAATATTTAAGTGTAATATTATTAATCATCAATACTAATAGTTACTGATTTGACCAACAAAAACCTGGCGATTTCAGGAGCCATTGGCAGATGGCAGATTTGTTGGTTGCATCGAAAAAAATGGGATGAAACCAGCGAAGAATGGAGGTTTAACCAACTCAAAGTGGTGATTTCATCAACAGAAATGGTGAGTTTAGCTGTACCCTCTGGTAATTTCACATAGCTATGGAAAATCACCATTTTTAATGGGAAAACTCACTATAAATGGCCATTTTCAATAGCTATGTTAGTTTACCAGAGGGTAACTAGAATTGGGTTTAAACCAATTAAAATAATTAACAAAACATAAATATTATGATTGGCTAGTGGATTCTCCATAATCTCCATATCTACGATAATTTGCTGGAGTGTAGTATTCACATTGATAGTAGTTGATTAGTACAGTAGTTGGAGAGTGTGTCATGAGACATTAGTCGTTGGGCATGAAAACTTACAGTGTATAATTGCAACATGTTCTTCCAACCCCCATTTGTTGCGTTCCATCTTCCAGTGGTGAGAAGAAAATCTCCAAGCATCTGCAGTTCATTCATAGGTATCCCTGTTGCAGGATTTTTGTATATATATATATACATATATATACATATAATATGCAATGTCCAAGAAAGCAGGCAATGCAACCCCCAATCGCAGTCAATCAACCATCATTTATCAATTATATCCCTGTGTGGTCGAAATCCGTATATTTGATGCTAAAATCTCCCATAAATCCCACTGGGAGTCGCAACGAAAGAGGGACATTCAGAAATCTCAGCGGAATCCCATCATTTCACAGAGCGATATCTTGCCATTCACTGAGCCACCGACCCATCATTGTGGGCATTCAGCTTATTGAAACCTCCAATGGCCAAGTCCAACTGCCTGCGCTGAAAAGCGGCCGATCGGAAAGCGGCCTTGTGCTTGAAGATTTTGTTTACCGTCCAAAGTACATTTGGCACTGGGTCAAAACCTTGTACCCCTGGTGAACATAAAAATACCTGGTAAATGGATGTTCATCCCTCTAAAAATGGTATTAATAGGTATTGATTCATAGCCATTTGTTAGGGCTTCACTGCAAATATTCCTTTGCAACGATTCACGGACATCTGGTTGCTGGTTGCTAGTGTACTTGAACGAACACCCAAAATACAAGCCAATCGTCAAAATCTCCAAGGTAGGCTGCAGAATAAAACATATTTCAAACCACGCAGCCGATATTTTGACGCGCTTGGAACGAAGTAAACGTGAAAGTTGTTTCCATCTGGAAGGCAGGAACTATTTCTGGCAACATGGACGAGCATTGAAACTTCATGCCATCTCCTCAACTAGTATCTGGTTGGTGGTTATACCTACCCCTCTGAAAAAAATTCTCGTTCGTCAAATGGGATTTTCTTATTCTTCCCAGTATATGGGAAAAGAATCCATTCATGTTCCAGTCACCGCCGACCAGCTATGGTTATGACGCTTTAAGTAACCCTATGGCTTATGATGGCTGTGGGATCCGTAAAAGGATCACCCAGGGATCACCTAGGGATCAATTCAACAGCTGTGGAGTCGTCATACCAAGAAGCAAGGAAATACACCCTCTGGTAAACTAACATAGCTATTGAAAATTGCCTTTTATAGTGGATTTTCCCATTGAAAATGGTGATTGTCCATAGCTATGTTAAATTACCAGAGGGTATCACAAGTTCTAAGTAGCTATGATGTTGCAAGTTATTTTTGACTGAGTCTTAACAGGGGATCGATTTTTTCAACTTCCGAAGCCATTGGATTTGAATTTGAATAGTTGTTTTCTGTTCACTTTAGGTCAAGGATTCAAGATGCTTTCACTTATATACATGGATTAAGAATTTGTAATTGTATCAATCATGTGACATCCCAATTTTAGCAGCTTAACCCCGATTTTTGCCAAGAGATTCAGAAGGATTTGTCTGATACCTGCCAAAATCCACTACTTTAGCATCACAGGGCCCGTGGGGGGAGTACAGTATACCCAATTTTCAAACCATGACAAACCCAAATATCAGATATTTGGTTGGTCATATTCCGTCCAACGTATCTCCACTATATCCCACCTACCATTTCTGAAATCCCCATTTTGATTGAGTTAAACTAAATCCCCATGTGGGGTTCCCATTTCGCGCCGCGGATCTCCATCATGTTTGAAGTCATCGTCTCAGTGATCAAAACCATGGATTTTGATGCTGAAATCATGTAAAAACCTCTGGTAAACATACAAAAAACGATGGAAAATCACCATTTTGAATGGGTAAATCAGTAAATCAACTACATTTTCAATAGCTATGTTAGTTTACCGGAGGGTAAATCGCCATATTCCCCTATTTTTGCTGGTTGAATCCTCCATATTTCCAACTGAGCAGTGTTCAAAGCCCTTTTTGACGAACCTTGCTACGCACTTTACTGCCTGAAAAAATAGGTATTACAATCCATGTTGGGCAGTATTATCCCATACAATCATCAACCAACCATCATTCATCGTTTATTTTCACAAACATATCAGGAGATGTTCATGCTTAAAATCCCTGTGAAATGCCTATAATATCCTATAATCATCAACCAACATGAAATTCCCCTAGTTCTTCCCCTATTTTCGCTGTTTAAATCTCAATGTTCAACCATTTTGGATGCTGAAAAATCATGATTCTCCCCTGATTTGGTGGAATTCCGGGTCCAGTTTTGCAAAGTGGACCCGGCGTGGACAAGTGGCCTCTCCAGCTGCAGCAAGTCCTTGTGTCGTTGCGCTTGAGCGTCTTCCTGGGAACTTTGAAGCACTTTGTACCTGCGGAGCCAGCAAAAAATGGTGCTTTCAGCAGCAAACATCGTGATTGAACCAACCGAAAATTTCATCTAATCAGCAGAACTGGTGATTTTAAGCAGGCCAGAAAATGGTGATCTAACCAGCGAAGATTGAACAAATGATGATTTTAAGCAGGCAAAAATGGTGCTTTCACCAATGAAAAATGAAATGAATAGAAATGAAATGGGATTGAAATCAGCAATAAATGTGGGCTATTGTAAACCCAGGATTGTTGGCGCACCAACCAATGATTCCCCCAAACTATTATGGCATTTTTGCGTAGGGAATATGCTGAGTGGTTTATCATCACTTGAATCAAAATTGCCGGTTTGGTGTATACCATTTGGACGGACACAAATCAACATGTTTTCTGGCTAGACCCCCATGTTTATTGCTAAAATATGCTAAAATCCATACGGTGCTGATTCCATCAGCATTTGTTGATGGTAAATAATGATTTAATGCAAAAAAAAACTGATTTCCCAGAAATTGTTGAGTCAAAGCCTCATATGTTTCACGGTAAACCGATATGTGCTCATCACTTTTTCCAGTGATTGATCTTGAATTTGCTGAAGGGAAATCCAGAAAAAAAGAATAGATTCCAAAATGGTGGATGTCCCATGTGGGCAATTAAAAGAAACACAGTCTGAGCAAACCCAACGTTTTAAGGTTGCTGAATATAACCATTTATGGCCTATGGCTGATTAAGATCCATAAAATCACCATCATATCCATTGTTGCTTATGTATCCCATGAAATATCCCATGAAATACCCTCTGGTTATTTAACATAGCCATGGAAAATCCACCCATTTTTTAATATTTTATAGCTAGGTAAACCATCTATTTCTATGGGTCATCTATACCATGGCTATGTAACAGTCATAACCAGAGGGTATCCCATAAAGTCCATGGGAAAGGCAGCGCACTTCTGCCGCTTCTGCGTGTACTCGGACTCTGCCGCAAGTAGGTCCTGCTGATCCCGGGCATCCCCTCCAAGGGATACAAAATTTTCCCCAGCAGAAATGGAGATTTCCGCACCAAAACTCTAGGAGTTACCCTCTGGTTCTGTCAAAATAGCTATTGAAGCCATGGCCATAGAAATAGTGGATTTTCCCATTAAAATGGTGATTTTCCATAGTTATGTTAAATTACCTTCCAAGAATTGCTATCAAAACATATCAAAACAGGCCACAGAAGTTTGGTATATCAATGCCATGAATGGAGATTACCCTTGATACCCTCTGGTAAACTAACATAGCTATGGAAAATCACCATGCTATTAATGGGTAAATCCACTATAAATGACCATTTTCTATAGTTATGTTAAATTACCAGAGGGTACCCTGCAAATCAGAGAAACAAACAAAAAAAAGGTGATGATATCATGAAATTCCAGGATAGCGAATGAAATGAATGAAAATCATCTCCAATGGCTATGGGGGTAGTAATCAACCAGGAGAATTGCAAAAGCCCCACCAACACTGCCATGATTTGCCCGTTACAGTTGGGGTTTACCAAAGAAATGCTCAGATTTAACTAGGCTTTGCTCAGTGAAAATTGAAACTGGGATTGCCATATGACTGTGCTTGGGGCTGTGATCTACTTCTAATCCATTGTGTGCCTACAACCTTTTTTGATCAATAGAGTATTGTATTCCCCCTTTTTCAATTTTTGTTGACCACTCACCTACAGCTTGTGGATAAATCATAATAATTCGCTAACCTTAAAATTTCGGCAATTTTGGGATATATAATTGCCGTAATCCTTACCATCATTCCAGATATATCCCATGTACTATAGGCGATGGGCGAACGATCTTGGCGCCAAAAACCTTTGAAAACCGTCGCATTTATTCGTTTCCTTTGTACGCCTTTTATGGTGCAGGTATTTGTCCACAAGCCTGCCACAGAATGCTTTTCCAAGAAGATGAACATGGCACAGAGTTCTAGCGGCGTAGAACTAAAGGCACTTCCTCTGGATCACTGAACAACAGGATGGGTGCTTTATTGGTCCACAATGTCACAAAAAATGGACTCCTGCATATGCAGCAAAGTTATAGGCCGTTTCGGTAGGAATGTATCTCTGGCTGCATTGCGGGACGCTGCGTTTGAGCTACTGCAACACTCTCCCATGGACGTAAGTGTTGCATGCGCCTTCCTGCATGATAGGAGTCCGTGGGTCAAACTTGGATACCCGCAAAAAGGCATTGTCTACCACGCACTGAAAATGACCATTGCATAGACATATATATATATAATCTATATCATATGCATAATACATTTTATTTATATGATACATACTAAGATAGATATAATGCCCAAGATAAATATGTACATATACATATATAATCATATATATATTACTGTATATACATAGGTTTTTTTATGCTTACATACTCAGATAACATATAATATATAGATGCCACCGGTGGCATGCCGTCTCCTTGTCCAGCCGGGCTAAGCGTCGCTGTTCCAATTCCAACCTCAGATCTGGGTCAAAATCTGGGGATGGGTCAGAATCTGTGGATGGGTGCTAAATCAATGGCCATTTCAGAAACCTACCCTCTGAAAATGGTGATTTAATGGGATTTTAATGGGATTTTATGGTGATTTTAATGGGATTAATGGGACATACCCGGCCTGGGAAACATACAAAAAGCTATTGAAAATGGCCATTTATAGTGGATTTACCCATTGAAAATGGTGATTTTCCATAGTTATGTTAGTTTGCCAGAGGGTAAATTGGAGGTACCTAGCATATATAAGGCCTAAATTTCAGGGAATATCCCCACAAAACATGCCCTGAAAAATGGTACTAACGTACCTCCATTTTAGGATCCTGGAATTCCCATTGACTTAACGTAGGGAATGGATGGGAAGTATCCACAATAACTATCAATAATCATCCCAGCAACCCCCATTCCCATCCATTCCCTACGTTTAGCACCAGTAAGGAATTGGGCAGCGCAAAAAATGGGATATCTCTAACAAATATCATCCAGTCAACGGATGGTTCAAATCCGCTTTAACCATCAACAGGGATATCATGCAGAAACAATGGAGCAATGTGTCAAATTGGATCACCAAACGGTTGGTCAGCAACAAAAATCGAGTAAATGCAGATACTGTATCTGGTTGGTGGTTGAGCCACCCCTCTGAAAAATATGAGTTCGTCAGCTGGAATGATGATTATTCCCAATATGTGGAAAAATAAAAATTGTTCCAAACCACCAACCAGGTATATACATGTGATACATATATTCTCTAAGTTTACAATTCCCATACCATGTTTGAAGTTTGAATATGTCTAGATCCTGACTGGTGGTTTTTTTCTGGGCGCGGCATGATCCATTGGACATCGCCGAATGGTTGAACCATGCTACTCTGGCATGTGCCGACCCAACCAGTGACATAAAGAGAAAACACATCTTTTTCTGTACTTTTTTGTTGATCGTAATTTCCCAGATTCCCAAGTTTCCCAGGGATAAAGTAAAAGAAGGCAACTAATTTTTAACCATCGTGAAAGATATTAGTCAATGGGAAGGATTATCCTAATATATTGTGGAAAATGAAAAATGTTCCAAACCACAAACCAGATACCCTCTGGTAATTTAACATAACTATGGAAAATCACCATTTTCATGGGTAAATCCACTATAAATGGTGATTTTCCACAGTTATGTTAGTCATTACCAGAGGGTAAAGATATCGCAAGATCCAGCCCACCCTCCAGGCCGCCCTGCTTTCGAGTCGTCAACTCGATGTCAGCGTGTAGTCGTGACCTGAGATGGATATCCTATCCCTATGGTGAGCAGCGATCCAGCGATCGTGATATGGATGTTCTACAGCTGTATGGAAGGTAAAGAGTATGTGAAGATAATGATGTATGGATGGTTTTTCAAGTCATGGACGATTTGGTGATATTTCTAGTGATGTGGATACTGATGATACTGCTGTTTTTTCTTAAAAAAAACATCACACATTCCTATTCTAAACCTGATACGAATGGCTGATCTTCGAATATTCAGTGGATTGGTTTTGAAAAATCTCCCTTAAACTAATCCGTTTAGCCATGGTTGGTATCGATGGCCCCAATCGAAAGTTCGATGGGCCATACCGAACTTAAAAATGGGTGGATCTTTCCATGGCTAACTGTTAAATAACTAGATGGTATATATATATATATATACACCTGCATCTAATATCTACCTGCTTCTTGATTTTTGGATTCATCAGATTCTTTGTATTACGTTGCAACATGCACAACCTGCATACATATGCATCTATGCATGTAAACATATACTATAAGAGAAGGACATGATATATAGCCATAGGATGCCATAGGCGATAATAACACCATGGCCATACCCAGTCTTTGGCACCGTCTTACCTGGCTACCTGTTAGACCCTTGCGCACCAAACTGGGAGTCCCTGCAAGTGATCTTCGAAGTAGACGTTGTAGGAACCTCTAAAGCACGGCTGTGATCCAGATACCCTCTGGTTATTTAACATAGCCATGGACAATGACCCATAGAAATAGATGATTTTCCCAGCTATAAACCTCCATTTATAAGGGATTTTCCATGGCTATGTTAAATAACCAGAGGGTAAAACGGATGTGGCTTTTCTTCCTTTCTCTCCACCTTCCTTTGTTTTGTCTCTACCTTTTTTTCTTCCTTCTTGTTTGTTTCCTCCGTCTCCTTCCTTTTCTGTGTCTTCTCCTTCTTCTTACTTTCCTTAGTTTCCCTCTTTGCTTCTTGTTCCTGTTGATGCTACAGTCCTCTTTTCTCTGTAGATACCATTTTTCGTAGTTCCATCTTTAGAAAATAAGAAACAAAAATATCTGATCAAAATCGTATATATATATGGTAACATTCCCATATAAAATGCTTCTAGGTAGATCATGGGGGGGTGACTCGGTGACCACATAATATATATATATATATGTATATCTCATGTCAAGTCCTAGTTCTCAGTTTCCAACATCGTTCCGGATTATCATCTGAACTTGGGTTGCTTCCCGATTATTTGCTTACTGGTGCTTAGTAGGGAATGGATGGGAATGGGGGAATGGGATGATTCTTGATAGTTACAGTATTGTGATGTATTGTGGATCATTCCCTCATTCCCTACTAAGCACAAGTAAGCTTGTTAATATCTGTAAATATCCTCATATTCGATGGTCAAATGTCCACTCCGCTTTACTCCACCCAGATACCCAGGGCCCATCCTGGACGCACTAACATAGATATGAAAATCCCACCATGCGTAGATCATGTTCCTTCGAAAACTTTTTTTTTAGATGGTAGGAGTAGCAAACGACTATATCCCCATTGATGATATCTGTATCTACTATCTGTATCTATTATATCCCCATATATCCCAGTTTATCGTCCCATTGCAAAATTGATCACATTTGCCGGTTATCCAGCTCGGAGTAAACATATTTGAAACCACCAACCAGTTGTATTGCCAGTCTCCATATATCCCATATCCCAATTATATATCCTAGTATAATCCATTATATCATATCTTGTAAAATCACAAGTTAAGATACTTATATTGCCATAAATACCCTCCGGCGAACATGGCTTGCTGGAAAATCCACTATCCACAGATGATGTTCATTAAAAAACCTTCATGTTTTTCATGTCCATGGTTTTTTTCATGGTTTTCCCATATATCTGGGTAAATTATAATATTTCACTAACCTGAATCTTGCGGCCACCACTTTCATTTCGGACCCAGCTGCCCGGCCCATGAGACCTGAATCTTGCGGCCAGCTATGGGGATGATTTCCCTATAAAAACCATGATTCCAGGGCTCGGGAGAACAGTGAGGTCGTTATAATTTACCCAGATATATATATATATATATATATACATATATATATATATATATAATAGTTATATCTACCATAAACCATACTTAAGCCACAAAAACTTTTGGCCACTGAACGCGAACTCGCCTGGGGGCCCTGTTTCGATGTGTTTCCCATGGGGTTTTCCGAGGGATTTCCTATCCATCTCCATGCCCGGAGCCGCTGAAGTTTTTCACCTCCTCCAACCTGTGCACCGCCCCCGGAGGCAGAGACATACCTCAGATGTCGACGTACGGCGATGGCGCCTTTCTGGGGTTTTCATGAGGTGTTTACCCAACTTTTTGTGTGGATAAAAGATGAAAGTTTATGGTAAATTCTTGGGCAATACCCTGCAAATATGAAAGATGATGATAGTGGGATAATTATCAGATGTTGGTTTATTGTTGGGTTTTTTACAACCTAATCTACAAATATCTCTTATATGTGTGCGTGTGTGGTTTCTTCCTGGGTATATCCCCGTATTTGGCATGATTTGTAGGCCCCAAATGGTTGATAATCAGATGGGTTTATGATTTTTGTGTGCATTTCATTAAAAAAAAACACCCCATGATCTCCCCGTAAAATCATTGGGCTTTGAATGATACTGTACTACCCTCTGGTAAACTAACAGTTTGCGAACTGGAAAATCACTATTTTTAATGGGTAAATCCACTATTTCTATGGCCATGTTCAATAGCTTTTTGTATGTTTACAGGCCGGGTAATTCACCAAGAAAGTTGGGCCATTCTGGATGATTCCCCATGACTTTCATGATGTTCTTCCTATCTCGACATTTCTGTATTTTTTCACATGAAAATACCATATGAACCCAACTTCTCAATGGGAAGATTCCTGGAGTGTCACCAAACACGGTTGGAAAATCCCTGGCACTAAATTCACGTTTGTACTGCCATGAACGATTAAACCGCACATATATTGTCACCTTCAAAATGATAACATCTGATCAACTGACATAGACCCTGCGAATCGCTTCTTGTTTTGTTGCAGAAGATCGTCTCCAAATCTTCAACCCCTGCGGAACCTCTCCATTAGGCAGGGTCTATTTGGGTTCGTCAATAGGATCTTTCAAAATCCCGTACGTTATCATAATTTCCCTTGTTTGAGGTTCCTATTGTTTGAACAAATCCAAATGCTAGTTGGAGGGATTAATAACAGAATATATTCCCATATCAATATTCCCATATCATGATTGGCCGTCCCTTTCTGTTGGTGACAAAAATGGCATTTCTCGACAACCCCGAACCTAGGATCAAAAAACCTGTACTTTCTATTCATGCTGACTACTGACTATAGTAACCCCCTTAAAAAGGATTGTTTTTCAAGTGGGAAACCTGGAAAGTTTTGGTGTAAAATTCATAAACAAGAACCTCCTGGGACTTCCTGAATCCGTCCCTGCCTTCGTTCAGAGACATTGAAACTCAAGGCATCCTGAGCTCGACATGGGATCCATGGGGAACCAGGAGATCTATCGAATCTATCCGGGTTGGAGATGTGTGAAAATGGGGAATAACCTGGAAAAAGGCAGTGTTTAGTTTAGGGGCGAAAGATCATGACCATCTAAGTTTGGAGTATCATGTTCAAGGAAAACCATTTGGTGGTTGAAACACATATCCCGGTTGCTTAGGAAACCCCAAGTAGGAAACCGTCATGGTTTTTGCCATGGTTTTTGCCATGGTTTTTGCCGGATTTTCTCCCAACTAGAAGTAGTATTTCATCATATGAATGCGCCCCCAGAGGTGATAAGTTGGTTTATTCTCCCAGCTAATTATATATCGGTACAAACACCAGAAACCCAATCGCTAAGCGAAATAAACCAAATGAGCTAACGAACCGGCACACTACGCTGCACGAACAATTTCTAGTCATACTTTAGGCAGATGCTTTTTAGAGAAAATTGTCTTTTTAATCACCCATGTAATGACAATCAAGCTTTATACGATCGAGTGGCGTATTGGGCTAGATTAATGGTTCTAATTTCTAATGGTATTAAAATGTATTCATGGTCTATTTAATTTCTGCGGGTTACCATATACTTCATCATATATAACATGGTTATTTAACCATAGATTGAACATACATTAGCCATAGATTAACCATCCTTTATGTCTAACCCACTTATACCAAGTTACTATGTTACGAACTAGTTCACTAACACCAGTATCGAACCAGGAAACATATATATATATTAAATAAATATAGGGTAGTATTATAAAATTATATAAACACATACACTAACAATATAGTTAGTATACCTGGGCATTTCATACGCACCACTTACTAAAAACCACCGTTTCACCAAGCATCCAGGGAGGAGCGATCTCCCGAGCGCGTGGACGGCAGCTGCGTGGAGATCAAGGTCGAGGGTTGCTGCAGCGACTCCTAACGGGATCTGGTCGGAGAGAGACCAGTTTTTACATGGGGAAAATGGAGGAAAACTCAGCAATATCTAGGGAAAATATGGGAAAATGATGGGGAAAATGATGAGGAATTTTGGAATTTACTCAGGATCTAGTGAGATTTATGAGAACTTGGAGTTTGTTCGACGAAAAATTGGGATGCATCTGGCAATCAAAATGGAGGTGTTTTGCAGCAAACAAATTGTGATTTGACCACCAAATAGTGCTTAACCAGTGGCTTATTGGATTCAACCATCGAATGTGGCTGTTAGGTTTGGTTGATTGATGACCCAGGACTGGCTGGGTTCATTGATGGTCGAGGGGTTACGACAAAGCTACTCGTACCAGGTTACACCAGGCTATCGATATATTTGTCTTGCTGTTTGCCTATCCATCTGTTTGTTTGCTTGCTTGTTTGTTTGTTTGCCTGCCTGTCTGGCTGCCTGCCTGTCTGCCTGCCTGCTGCCTGTTTGTATGTCTGTCGATCACTCGATCAATTATTCTAATCCTAAGTAAATCTAATTTCAAGTAACCCAATCCAACCTGTTTACCAATCCAACCCAATCCATCGAAAACCGATGTGAGACCATGTAAAACCGGAAGCATCTGCTGCATGTATTCCCCTCATGATGATGCCACTTCTTTTGAAGATTCTTCGTGCACATAGGCTTCTTCAACACTCCTTAGTTTGCAAAATGAATCCGAGAGAATCCAGGCAAATGATTCCAATCCTGTCCAAAGAATATAAATCAAACAGAACTTCGCCAATGGCAAATCTATATAAATTAGTTGGTTTTTAATTGCATGGCCCATGGCAAAACATGCTATTGTTTTTAGTCAACAAAGTGTTCCAATCTGACATAGATCAGATATATATTTGTTTTGAATCCCCACGTTTGTTGCTTAAACCTCTATGTTTATAAGCTGCCCCCTGGTAAACATATAAACAACTATGGAAAATCACCATGTTTAATGGTTAAATCAACTATTTCTATGGCAATTTTCAATAGCTTTTTGTATGTTTACCAGGCCGGGTAAACCTCTATTTTTATAAGCTAAATCTACCACTACAACTACTGGTGCCCACCTGGAAAACCATCCCCTCTTGCACCTGTGGGGAGCTGAGCTTTCCCTTCCTGGGCGCCACTGGGACTGAAATGGCTTTGATGAAAGCCATCGGAGAATGATGATTTTTTGCATCAAATTGTTGGGGTACCCTCTGGTAAACATACAAAAAGCTATTGAAAATGGCCCAGTCGAAATAGTGGATTTTCCCATGAAAAATGGTGATTTTCCATAGCTACAGTATGTTAAATTACCAGAGGGTACCCTATCTTAATCTTCACACAAACTCCCTATCATAGGAAACTGTTTTTCGCATTCGCGACCGTCCAACTGGCAGATTTGAGCAACCCTCTTGAAGATATGTATCTGCTACATAGAACACAAGATTCCAGTCGTGGCTTTGGGAATTGGTACAGGTCATATTCCGCAGACAGATCCATGGAATCTTCCATCAAGCTCAGGCTACTGGGCCATGGGATTAGCGAACCGGCTAGTAACTGGGTTAGAACCTCCTATACCCCAAATTACAAGCTGTATATAGTCATATATTATATATGTACATGATTCCATATATATAATTATATATATATATATATACTCTCAATAATTATCATGTATATGTGTATATATATATCGATTCACTAACAAGTTGCAGTACCCAACTCCCTGGCCCATCTAAGTACTTCTTGCATTCGTAGAGTTGTGCGAACTCAGTAACAACATATCCTACTGGATGTTGCTGGGCAGAACCCTCAGTTCCAATACAATCATCCAAACCCTTCCTTCATGGGGAACTTCACCAGCCTTAAAAAAGGGGCCAACACAAACCAACAACGTATGGTTCCCACACCAGTTGCTTGTCCCAAACATTCAAAAACACCATCACTTCATTCTTCATCCAATATTGTTCACAGGAACTTGAAACCGTCAAGTATCCATACGTCGATACACCATACAACACCCCACAATTCAGCCAATGGCTATATCAAGTGATACCAAGTGGATAAAACATGGCAACACTCCATTGTTTGACGCTGTGAAATAAGGAAGTTCTCACCAATGACCTAATGTCAGGTGTTGATTGGTTGGTCAATCCGAAAACAGTTAGTTTATTGGTTAGCACATCGATTATACTAATACTGTAATCAATAGCTTATAATTATCATATAGCTATAACCTCAGATGGTAAATGTTATCTGACCATTACAGTAACATGATATAATGTAACCAATCCGAAAAAATATATTCTATAGTTTGGCGCAAGCCTCATTTTGATCAATAAGAAAAAAACAGCCACACGTTCATCCGATCATAAAACCAATCCCATTACCCTGAGGTTCCACACGTCGCCATGGCCACACGTCCGACCGGTCAAAGATTCAGCAGGTAGGTCTCTATTCATCCAAACGTTGCTGGAAACCGTGAGTTTTCAAGATAGTTCGTCATTAATCACCTGTCTTTTTGCAGATCTTTTTATATTATATAGTTATTTCAGCTATTTCCCAAAATGTGTTGTCTTTCTTTGGTTTTTCTCTGTTGAAGTCTGGTGGATGAAAGTGGTGATGAAAAGAACGTCATCGGCGTTATCATTCTCTGGGCGGCATCGAAACTTTGTCTGAGCCACAAACTGGCAGGCCACAGATTGGCCATATGGCTATGGATCAATACCTATAAGTACCATTTTTAGGGTGATGAACATCCATTTACCAGCTATTTTGAGGTTCACCAGGGGTACAAGGTTTTGACCCATCCCCATATCAACAGCACCAAAAGATGGCCTTTTGAGCAGGTGGATTTCTGCAGTCCCTCTAGGCGTCCATCTGTTATTTAGACGCGCAGATCCCAGCGGCTCTCAAAAAAAACGACGAAAAACCCGACGATGGGTGTCATCAAACGTGACGATTCTTGGGAAACCAAATGGAGTTGGAGGAAAACAACATGGTAAATCTCATGAAATCAAACATGGCAGTGGGATGTGATGGGAAATTCCCTAAAGGATATGTTTCATGTTATAAGATTTTACAAAAGGCAATTGCTAAATAGGAAAATTAAACATGGATGTCATATAATAGGAAAATCGCCCATGGATTTCAGATGGTCATGGATTTTTCAGCAAACCAGGTTCGACGACCAGAGGGTAAAAGCCACGCATCCCAGTACTTGTTGCAGCTCCATGCTCACAATGAGCAACAACACATGGCCAAATAGAAGACTCACCAATTTTGAGGATGGATTTGGAGTTTCATCTATATAATTCGATATACATATATATATATATGTTTTGTTTTTATCCATGACTTTCTAGCGGGTGACAAGACTGCGTCCAAATCATTCATGTTTGAAACCACCAAACAGGTGTGTGTGTGAGCCATTCTTGCAGGTCTTAATTGTCACACCCTACACATTCTGGATATTCTGGATCATATCAGAACTCAGCAAATCCCGAATTGGATGATCCAATGCCCTGAAATTCATAGTTTCCCATAAAATAAACCTGGTTGGTGGTTTCAGCCCCACTGAAAAATATTTGACAATGGGAAGGATTATCCCATATATTATGGAAAGTCATAAAATTCATGTTCCAAAGCACCAACCAGTTTTCCTGTCACTCGCAGTTCTGTCCTCAAACCCCACATTCATCCCCTAACATGGGAAGGAGATATCCAACCTTTTGGCCCTGAACCGCTTCGCAGTATTTTTTTGCTCCATGACGAGCCAAAGCAAAACCAATCTGAAGGCGCTGGCGATCGTAGACGGTGTAGTACTTCCTGCGTTCGTTGAGACCAGCGCAACTAAACCATGGAAGTTGATGCCGTGGATGAAAAATCCTGTGGTGGCGTGATAAAAAAATATTCAAGCTGTTAGAATCACAAAAGAGGATGGGATAAAGGCAACATGTGAATGTATGTATGCCCAGCAGTTGCTGGCTAATCTTGGATAACTTGCAACAAACACGTTTTCAGCAGCTAGAATTGGAAATCGTTGTCGCTTCTCCTTCCAGTTCGCCAAACAATCCTATCCCAAACCAACCAACCAGCCAATTCCCCTGTCTGGTCAATCACGATGCTTACTTGCCTAAGCCCACATGTTTCCTGCTTAAACCAACACGTCTAGTGATCAAACCGTACCTTTTCCTTCTTAACTCCCCAAATGTTTAATGCCAAAATACCCAAAAAAGACTCGAGTTCTCTTGTGTTTCCTGTTGATGACCCTTGGTGGTTAAATCATCAACTCATCCCATTACTCCCCAACTTTTCCCTTTGTTTCCCAAGTGTTTCCAAAGTGTTCCCCATGGTTCGAAATCTTTCCCCATGTTTCCCTATTTTTTTCAGCCTTAGGAAGAGATCTCCCTAATGTTTCCCCAGTGTTTCCTATTTCTTCCGAATGTTTACCAATGTTTTTTCCCATGTTTCCCTATTCCCCCAGTTTTCCCAGGCTTTTCCCCCATTTTTCCCTAGTTTTTAATATGTTTTGTCCAGGGCCTTAGGAAGAGATCTCCCAGTAACATCACCGGGCCATGCGGAGCCGGCACATCCACCGCCATCAGCTGCAAGGCGTCTGAAGCATCCAAGTCCAGCAGCAGATCTGACTCCTGGGAGGCACAAATGGTGGGTTCATATGGAGATATAACATGATACAACAAAACATGGTTAGAATAATCTAACTATAAACTAACTATATATATTAATTAGTAAACAATACAAAACATGGTTAGAATAATCTAACTATAAAATATAACTATATATTAGTTGTAAGTTATTAATTATAGTTATTAAACTACGGTTTATTGAACTATGAGTTATAACATGTTATAAACAATCGCATGTTACTTGCCATTTATCCCAAGGTTAAACGAGTTTAGTGAGATGATCAAGGAGATAACCAGTTCTAGTCATCTACAAATAGTCTTAACATTTCTTAAGCATCAATGGGATTTAATGGGATTGAATGGGATTTAATGGATAGTCTGAAGAGAGCTTTACTATGGGAAAAATCGTGATTTGGTAGACACATATATAATTATATATATAATGGGAAAAATATAGAACTGTAATAAGATAGAACTGTAATAAGCAAATGGGAAGACAACAAGGGTGCAAAGGGAGGGATATAATGGTGAAAATAATCATGGTGCAATTTTAACCAATTAACAAGATGAATTGATAATGGAGATAATGTGAGAAAAATAATGGGAATATAAGGATGTAATGGGAATGCACTTGTTGTGAAAACTCCAGGAATCGTGTTTGTGGGTTAGCTCACCTCAGTTGTAACTGGACTTATCCTACTTATCCTACTCAATCAACTGCGGTAAACTAAGCCACTTGCTAACCACGTTAAACCGCCAAGTGGGAAAAGTTGTATCTAAGCATCAAAAAATGGCAGTGTGTCAAAACCTTGTACCCCTGGTGAACATCAAAATAGCTGGTAAATGGATGTTCATCCCCCTAAAAATGGTATTAATAGGTATTGATCCATACCCAAATGAAAAAACGCTGAATAAACAACACAATTGGGATTTAGATGTGATTTATGATAACTAAGCTGGCAAGGTGTGGGAGGCTTGCTGGGAGATTGGAAAACCACCAAACACAATTTAGATGTTGATGGAAGTTCATATGTTAATTGCTAAGAAAACCATTCCAAAATATGATGCCTTCAAAATATGATGCCTTCGTAGAATAATTTGATGATCTGCATTCGGCATCAACAACAGAGAGTTTACCAGTGAAAATTAGAGGTTCAATTTGGGAGTCGACCAATAAACATTCTGTGATCTGAGCCAGAAAATGGGGAGGATTGAACAAAAAATGTCGCGGTTGTTTGGTCCCCAAAAAAGTGTGCGAAGTGCCAAGGGAAATTGCGTTTTGACTCCGGAAAATTGAGTACGTAGTGTTTTTCTATCCTTGTGTCGGGGGTGTCCAATTGCATTCAAACTATGCGCAGGCCTACGTCATATGGCTATGCCTTTGCTCCAGGTAGCCTTTTCTCGGGGTTTTGGCATGTGCCTGCGTGCCCGCGGTGGAGGTTTTGCCTACGAGGCAATTTGAATGTCTAACCCATAGGATCCATGGTGCTGCTATATATGGTAACATTTACCATCAATATACCCCAAATGTTAGCATATATATACCAGCACCATGGATCCTATGGGTAATGGGAACTGAATGGATTAAACTGGTACCAAAGGGTGCGTTGGGCAGCGCCATCTGTATGTGTGCACTCGCCAGGACCTGTCGGAACAAGGAATCCGGCCTGGGCAAGGCCGTTTCTGCTGCTTCCACTTGGCAGCGCACGCTTTCCAGGTGGAGTAGATCATCCAGCAACATCAACACTGGTCGTTCGCCATGTAGATTGTACAAGGCTATTGAAAGAACAACTCTACAGCAGTGGTGGGACACGTTTTTCTTGCAGAGGTGGGAATTGTGGGTGCAAACGTGTTGTTTGGCTTAGATGGTGACATGGATATGTATATAATGATGATTAATGATGAAAATATGTGTATGCTGATGAACATGTTTGTATGGAAACAGAGGAGGAAAAAACTACGGTATTCATTGAGGAGTTCTACAAGATCCTAGCAACAAGAAAAGATATTTTAGAACATATGATTGCATGTAATGTAATTGTCTGTAATTAAATATGATGTTGCAATTATATGTACTGTATATATATAATATATCATAAGATATACGTTATCTGCATGTAGATGTATGTATAATGTATATATATACACAGCATCAATCATCATCATATCATGTGCTTATTATACATGGAGGTTTCCTGAGTCATGGTGGTACCCCTATTCATCATCCATTTCAATGGGACTCTCCAATATAAAACATCATCATGTCATGTTGTTATAATTTATGATCTTCCCATTATATAGTTATAAGCGGTTATAAGATGTTACAAATATCATAAACCATAGTTTTGGAGGTATAAACATATATATATATACACTATTGTATTATTATTATTATTATATATATATTATAAACCATATAAATATGATATAGATATATATTATATATACATGTTATATATATGATATATAAAATAATGATATATATTAAATAATAATAATATATAATATATGTTATATATATTCTATATATTATATATATTATATTATATATATTATATATATTATATATATAATATATATTATATATATTATATATTATATATATTATTTATATTATATATATTATATAATAATAATAAATATATAAAATATTAAATATTATATATATTATAAATGTTATATAATAATAAATATATAAAATATTAAATATTATATATATGTTATATTATATATATTATATATTATATATATTATATATATTATATATATTATATATATATTATATATATTATATATATTATATATATTATAAATATTATATATATTATATATATTATATATATTATATATATTATATATATTATATATATTATAAATATTATATATATTATATATATTATATATATTATATATATTATATATATTATATATATTATATATTATATATATTAAATATATTATATATATTATATATATATTATATATTATATATATTATATATTATATATATATTATATATATTATATATATTATATATTATATATTATATATATTATATATTATATATATTATATTTAATATATATTTGACATATATATATATATATTATATATATATATTATATATTATATATATATATTATATTTAATATATATATTATATATATATTATATTGTATATATATTGTTTTATTATCTTCCCATTTCCGTCCCATCTCCGTCCTCCAAGCGAAAGCCCAAGCGCTTTCCCTCGCCGTCTCCACAGTCCGTCAGCTGCTGCGCTAAGCGCCGCGCCAGCCACGAAGGCGCCGCGAGGGCGCCAGACGTGCCGCTGTCCAGGGCTATGGAACAGGAACGGTAGGAACCTGGGGATGGAGGAATAGATGGGAAATAATGTGATTTAATGATGTTTAATGTGGTTGTTAAATGTGGTTCAATGTGGTTGTTAAATGTGGTGAAATGTGGTGAAATCCATGTTTCCGGTGGAAATTCTTGAGATTTTACCACCAGGAACGGTGGTCGAAAGCAGCAACAAGTGAGCGCTTTTCCACAGCGGAAAAGATTGAAATTACTTTTCGGCGTATGTATGGCTTCAATATGGGCTGAGTGGGGGATAATTTTTTATTATGGGTTAAATGTTGTTGATGGTTCTTGAATCTGATACTAAACTAAGATTCAATGTTTAATGGGATTTGGTTTTATTGCATTATGCCCTAAAACCTCCTGTTAAAAATCCTCTTCTGGGGTGCGAAGGTGGCTCACTTTTGAACCATATCAAATAGGGATTTCATTAGACGTCGCCAAAACAAATACTACACGGATGGGTATATACAACTAATGAAAATCCAACCTTAAGCCACAAATCATGGCTGCTGGCTGACATGAATCGCATCCCCTGATCATAGTAATAGTAATATGTACTTTACCAGCCAGAAAGGTTGTGAACAAACCTATTGGGGATGGTTCATTATTGGGTTTACCACATTACCGATCTACCCAATCTTTTGGACAAATCCAGTTTGCTTGGTCCATACGGCAGACTGGTTGATTAATCCCCCTCTCTTTGCTGATTAAATCCTAATTGTTGTCGCTTATCCGATGAATTGTGCAGGTCGAAACCCGCTTTTTTTGGTTAAACCGTTAAATCATCTTAAACCCTCCTGTTTATTCATTAAATCCCATTCTTGTTGGGTAATTCATCTGGTTGCTGTTAAAGCCTTTTGTCTGTTTGTTGAATCATCTTAAGTCCTTGTTTTCTTCGGCTTAGGGCCCCATTTTTAGTGGCAGTTTCCCGGACCCCACACCTCACCTTGCGATCCGCAAAGGTTCATGTCTTCGCCGTCCAGAGTCAAGTCGCGCACTGCAACCTGCCGAGAAAAAAAATGCCGCAGTTAATCAACGATAAACATGATATAACCAACACTATGGTTAATGATAATAGATAACATATCCATAAAATATATGGTTGACATTGTATAACTAACCAACAAAAATGATAATTTAATATGACTTGATGGGATTTATTGGAAATAGAATAGGAACAGAATGCCAGTACAAGGTTGTGCCCCTTAGTTACAAGTTGGTGTATTAACCCAGCAACTACAATCACTATTAGCCATAACCCCGATTCAGCCCAGTCTTCTCCTTCTAGCGTGCCATAGGGTATGGTTGTGAAAACGGATGTGAAACTAACTTAGAAAAGCAGGTGCCATACCCGTAGCCTCCCCGTTGCCCCTCTGTACAGGAACTCCTTGAAGCAGAACTTTTCATTAGTTCGATTAGTTACGATGTCCAGGATACAGCCTGGTAGGAAACGTTGCTAGATTTCTTTGTTGATAGCTGCTTGCAGTATTTGAGCAAGGCAAGTTGTGCATTGGAGTTGTTGAAATCACTTTGGTCATCACGAAGTTTGTGCCATATCATAGTCAAGGTGTTTTGCGTCCATTGTTTCCTGGGTCTGCCGACCCGTCGAAACAATACCTCAACAGGTGCGGCGGTATCTTTTTTGAAACTGACCATTCTCATAGGGCTGTCATTGTCTTGTCTCAAAATTTTCGCTGCAAGTGCGATGCGACGATGGGTCAAAATGTCCTGAATTGGTACAATTTCGGTTCCAAAATGGTTCGCTGCAATGTGCAAGTTTGCTCTTCAGAAAACTTATTCATGTGTGTTTGCACGATTGATGTAGGTCGTAGTCATGCCTAGAATCTTTCGCAAACCTTTCAACTGACAAGATTCTAATCGTGAAAGGAAAGCCACTGGAATCTCAATTGTTTCCAAGGCATAGAGAAGCTTTGATTGAATGACTGCATTATAATTTGAAATGTTGTTTCTGGTACTGCATTGTGCTTCTTTCCAAAAAATATCCGAACTCTTCCAAGTCGCCATAGCTGATGCAATTCTGCTGGATACTTCTGACGCAATGTTAACATGTTTGGTCAAAAATCTTCTACGTGCTTCATGCGAGAGCCATCTTTAAAACGAATACAGTTGTGACCATTCATTGCCAAAACGTGACATTTGTCGTGGTTGAGTTTTAGTCCGTAGTAAGCTGATTCCTCTTCTATGGCATGAAGCAACAAGTTCATGCCAAATGTGTTTCGGGAAACCAGGAGCGTGCTATCTGCGTAGAGAACTTCATTAAAACTGATTTGGTCGAGCCTGCTTTCTGAAAGGTCCCTGTAGTGTTCTATGCCAATGTCGTGAAATAGAACAGTCATGACGAGTATAAACAGAAATGGGGAGTGGGCATCCCTGACGTATGCCGGCATCTTGAGATTTAGCATGCGACAGAAAATTTTCATGTTTCACTTGGAAGGAAAGGTCCGTGTAAAAGCTCGCAATAAGATTTCTGAGTTTTCTTGGTAAGTCAACCTCTCCAAGGCCTGCATCATCCGGGGGTGTGAGATCCGGTCGAAGGCTTGCTTCCAGTCTAACATGCATATCACGATATTGTCCCCAGATCCTTCTCCCAAATCTTGTAACCGTCTGGCTATGAATAACGCGTCCGCGGTGGAACGGTTTTTCCTGAACCCGAATTGGGTATTACAAATGTACGGGTCAATGACGTCAGAAAGCCTCTGTCGAATGATCTCAGCAAAGACCTTATAAATAGCATTCAACAGAGAGATGGGTCTATAATTAGCAATGTTTTTAGTGTCTCCTTTTTTAAAAATAGAGGCAACTTGGGCATTTAAGAAATTTGATGAGATAGCTTCCTTGGACCACCACCCATTCAATACGGAAATGAGAGCTGTTCTGTTTTGTACATCCAAATATTTGAATAATTCAGCCTGAATGCCATCATGCCATAGGGCCGGCAGCTTTGTGGTTCTTCGCTTTTCTTAATGCTGCATCAAATTCTGTCATAGTTATTTGATCAAGATTATAGGGCAAGTCACTTTGGATGATTGGTCTCTTAGTGATTGACGGCAGTAGAATGTCAGCTTTCCATTGCACAGCATGTAAATTATCAGCAACTGCTCCTGCACGCCCGCGGGGGCCGACCCCATTTACTGCTCTAGGATTCTCTTGGATATGTCATTTTTTTCTTTCTTAGCCTCTTTTTTGGCCTTCTTAGTGAGTTCTCCTACTCCTACTCCTCCTACTCCTCCTACTCCTACTCCTACTCCAACTACTACTCCTACTACTACTGCTGCTGTTGCTGCTGTTGCTGCTGCTGCTCCTACTGCTCCTACTGCTCCTACTGCTCCTACTGCTCCTACTGCTACTACTGCTACTACTGCTACTACTGCTACTACTGCTACTACTGCTACTACTGCTACTACTGCTACTACTGCTACTACTGCTGCTACTGCTACCACCACTACCACTACCACTACCACTACCACTACCACCACCACCACTACCACCACCACGACCACCACCACGACCACCACCACTACCACTACCACTACCACTACCACTACCACTACCACCACCACTACCACCACCACGACCACCACCACGACCACCACCACTACCACTACCACTGCCACTACCACGACCACCACCACGACCACCACCACTACCACTACCACTACCACTGCCACTACCACTGCCACTACCACTACGACTACGACTACGACTACGACTGCGATTACTACTACTACTAATAATAATAATAATACTACTAATACTACTAATACTACTACGGTTCAACCGTGGAACCGTGAGCCTTGGAACCGTGGAAACCATGAACCGTACGGTTTCCACGGTTCCACGGTTCACAGTTGGAGAGTGCCCGTCGCCGCCCTTCTCCCCAAGTTATAACAAGTTGATTTATGAAACCCATTAACCATCGTATTTATTCCCTATAACCCCTAGTTAACCAAGTTCCACAGTTCCACAGAAACTTAGCTATAAGAATAACAATTAATAACATCCTTAATAATGATTATCCATTAATATATGTATACATGTATATATGTATATATAATATACATGTATACATATCCCCATTTGATGGGTTAAATCCCATACCATCCATATTCATAACCTGGCACTCATGTTTGAAGAAACTTGAGGCGTTTCCGAATTGGTTCACCCAACAATTCCATCAATATTCATGAGCAATCTTGCTGTACATACCTGCATTATTATTAGCTGGTTAGTATAATATACCCTCTGGTAATGACTAACATATTGAAAATGGCGCATAGAAATAGTTGATGTACCTCTTAAAGATGGCAATTTTCCAGTTCGCTATCCCAATTTCGCACAAAAATATCATCGATACAAAAGAGGTTCCCTGGTGGTTTGGTTGGTGGTGAATAAAAATTCGCCCTTCGTGGGTCAACTCTGGGCGGTCATCGCATCATATCCCATCCTATCCCCCTGATTGGTTGTTGATGCCCATGTTTCTTGGCAAAACCACCATGTTGCTACCCTCTGGTACTGAAAAAATTGCTTGGCAAATATAGGATGTCATCGAAGTTCGATGATTTTCCCACAAAACGCATGTATATGCCAGTATATGCCCATTAAGCATTACTTGGATATCATTAATCATCATTCACCATCATTAACCTATCATTAGTCCATCATTAACCGGATCTTCCCATGATTTTCCCACATTTTCCCAGTGTCTCCATTAATGGGATTGTCCAGCTGCCTGCCAGAAGCCGGGTCTTGAGACTGGCACCTGACGCGGACACAGCGTTGTGGCAGATTGATGCCCCGTAACGAGGCTTGAAGGGGGAAAAACATGAGCAACTGATAGAAAATGAGGGTCATTGAATCCTGCAAAAAAAAACATCAAGTCAGGGTTGAACCATGTTAAACCTGCAAAAATGGATCATTTGAGAGGTTTATCTGCATTCTACCTGCAAACTTTGGGGTTGAGCAGCTTAAGATATTCTGCCGAAAAGTGAATTATAGCGAATTTATAGATGGTTGCCAAATACAAGAAATTAGACACGAACCCCAGTCGGGGGAGGGGGATTGTCCCCCTAATCTCGAGTTTTCTTGGGAAAATCCATATTTTGTTCAATTGCAATACTGTTCTACTAGTATTATGAGATGAGATATATACCATACCCAAAACAACCCATACCCAACTATATAGATACCCTTCCAGAAACTGAAATGCGTAAATTTTCACTGATGGTGTGGATTCTTCCACTCATATGTGCATGCTCACAAGATGGTAGAGCATGGTCATCCATATGAAAGTGGATGTTTTAAAACCGTCCCCCAATATGGGTAATCCCTTGGTTCATATCAAACACCCCCAGAAACCATGGTTTAGGGGATGAACTCACATCCGACTGGGACCATAGAAGGGGGGTGAATATCGGTCGGATGAGTTTCCCCAAGTTTTGACCATGGCACATAAACCCCCAAAACTGGATGGTTAATGCTAAAGACGAACAGAATCTGCCGTCGTTTACCTTGGGCCTTAAAAATGTTGGGCCATTCTGGGCCATTCCCACCAAGAAGCTCCTCCAGATTCACCTAATGTGGTAAACCCCATGACATAAACCATCCTAAGAACTATCCATCAGTATTCCCATCGAATTATAGAAATCATCCTGTATTGCTGGGTGAATCCCACATATCTCCATTATGATTTCATATGGATAAGATAATACATGATAAATCTGTGTAAATTATCATATTTCACGTTCACCTGAATCTTGCGGCCAGCTATGGGGATGTTTGGGATGATTCCCCTTATAAACCATGATTCCAGGGCTCGGGAGAACAGGGTTCGGTCGTGATGAAATTTACCCAGATAAATCATGATAATACCATTTATTGGGGATAAACCTCAAACTTGGGGATTGTTTATTATTGAGTTATCTCGTTAGATGAAGATGATCTGACACAATCTGGCAATAGTTGGTTTATGATGCTTATAAGCCTCGTGATCACAATAACAAGGATATATATATATATATATATATTCATAGATCATGAGGATATATAATACTTGGTAGATATATCCATTTTGGTTTATGGTATCTACCAACCATTATATATACTACCTACTATCATATAGTATCTGCCATATATCATATAGTTGGTAGATATACCTATCATTCATATGGAGGTTTCCTAAAATGGGGGTACCCCTATTCATCATCCGTTTTAATGGGATTTTCCATTATTACCATCCACCTATTGGGGTACCCCCATTTATGGAAACCACCATATATACTATCAACCATGAAAGGTAGTTCATAAAAAATATCTTGGTTAAAAAAAAGTTATACCTATATGTCAGATAGTTATTCAACTATGAAGCCATGAAAGGTAGTTCATAAATATATATAATTATATATATATTGGTTTATAGTTCTACCTATATGTCAGATAGTTATTCAACTATGAAGTACCTATCGTTATACCATAGTTGGCAGTTCATCAACCATCAAAAACCACCCAGCCACCCCGCCATGCCACCCTGTCCCACCCACGTGAGCTTCGTCTCCATCCGTCGCTCATCGATCCCGCCCAGCAGAAGCTCAGCATCTTCCCATGGATCCTGGTCGTCCCGGGGGATTCCATGGTGGAACCGGGACCACGGGGGATGGAAAAAGGGTGGCTTCACTAGCAAAAATGGTGCTGGTAATGCTGGTTGAAGCATGTTGAAGCAACATAAATGCTGATGAAAAACCAGGGAATGGTTGATCCTGTTGAGTTTCATGAGCGTGTTCAGCCTGCAAAGGTGATTTAGCCCACAACAAAGAATGAGTTGAGCAAGACTAGTAATGATTTTTTCAAACGAAAATGGAAGTCAACGATTTGTGATGTCAGATTAATGGAATCAACAAAATGGATTTACCATCTACTTGTTCGTTGTTCAAGATTTGTGATTCAACCAACAAGACTGATCTTTATAGATGAACGAAAATGTAGGCTGAGCCACACCAAAACTTGAGTTTCATGAGAAGAATCATGACTTAATCAACAATAAACTGGGGCAAGAGTTCAAAGGGATTAAACAACCAACTACGGCAAATCCAACAATCGGTTGGGGTAGCATCGACAACAAATACACAGAGGGAACAATACTATTAAGCAGCAAGTATGGATATATACGTATATATCTGGGACGTTGATCCTACGTGTGTGTATATATATACACATATTTATATATATATATATATATACACGCAGAAATTGCTTCTAAAATCCCCATTGAGCCATTAAAGATGCCCGTATCCCATCTTATCAGAAACTAGCTGGTTGATAGGTTCCTATGGCTTCGTTCATAATGCGTAATTTAATAATCAAGCAGGATAACTCCTTAGTGACTAACCAATCAACCAGGGTATTTCTAACAGCTTAGATATCATAATCATATTGTTTACAAGTATATTTTTGTTGGTTAAATCCATATGATATCCCCAATACATCCCAGTATTTGCTGCTTAAATCGCAAGAAAATCACGGGAAAATCCTATTTCTCACGACGCATCGATGCATCCTGCGGGAAGTAGATGGCGAAGACGTTCTGTTCCAGGCGTCTACTCACCTTGTGACCAGGAGTCAGAAAAAATGGGTAAAGTCATAGGGATTTAAGTAACAATTAAGGGGTGAAATCACAAATATGGGGATTTCATAGGGATATCTTGGGTGGTATATTGAATAACTATCAATCCAACTACATGTTCGGAATACTAGGGATTCAATAAGATTTGATGGTGATTTCATGGGAAAATTGGGGCATGTTTGATGAGATGTTTATCCTCCAAGTCTTGTCCCACGGTTGTCCCCATGTCGTCTTTTTGGATCGTGAAAATACCTAGAATTCAGTAGGATGTTCTGGAAAATCATGCGGGACAATCTGGGAAAATCTGGGAAATTATATATATAATGTTCTTCATACCCCGAAATATGTATTGTCCATATATATTCTATAAGAAAGTATGGAGAAAGGGATACTTAGTGCATTTCAACCAACCAAAACATCGGGATTTGTAGATATTTCTGGCTGGTGGTATACCTACCCCTCTGAAAAATGATGGAGTTCGTTGGGATGATGAAATTCCCAACTGAATGGAAAAATAAATTTCATGTTCCATATATATATATTGTATAATTAACTATATGGGTTCAACAATATTGAAATTATATAATGAGTCATCGGTATTTTCTGGGAAAGTATATAATTACCCTCTGGTTATTTAACATAGCCATGGAAAATCACCATTTTTAATAGGTAAACCATCTATAAATGGGCCATTTTCCATGGATATGTTAAATCCGCCCGCACCGAAGGTGCTGGGGCGTGATCTTCCGGATGGCACTCGTAAAAGGTTACAGGTTTACCTGGGGGGGGGGGGCATTTTTCGGCCAAAACCTCCTGTTTTTGATAGGTCGTGACGCTCGCCTTCAAAAAACACTGTAAAAAACAGTACGGAAGACACCTGTTCGTGAACGCGCCCGTCCAAAATCGGCAAGCGAAAAGTGAAAAAAACCCGTGTTTTTCAACTTTTTGACCTCAATTTTTTGGTTTGCAACATCTTTTTTTGCGGTTCCGCAGGTGGCCTGGCCCGGAGGCGGATTTTTGAGTTTTTGGACCCGTTTTCGGACTGATTTTCGTCGTTTTGTGATAGCAGAAACACTGGTTTTTACAGTGTTTTTCTGTTTTCTGCATGCTTGACGGCTAGCTTCAAAACTTCCAAAAACCTCGTAAATTACGCTGTTTTATGTTACGGTGTGAATGAAAACATCGTAAATACCAGTGTTTTTTGACGTTGGTTAAAAAAACACTGTAAATTACAGTGTTTTTGGCCACCTGACCCTCAAAAACCATGGTATTTGCAGTGGTTTCTGCTTCTCACCGCGCAAAAACACTGTAAATAAGAGCAATTTCGCCGTTTTTTCATGTTTTTCGTTATTTTTTGAACTGCGTTGGTCCGCTATACATGGCTATCAAATTCTTCGCGTGTTTTTTTCCGACAATCAGTACTTTCGGATGTTTTTGGTCTCAATGGCCGACATCATTGGCAGTTACGAACGATGCGGTGCGGGCGGTTGCCGTCGCGAAGCGACGTGAATAACCAGAGGGTATATCCCCATCATTATGTCCCCATTATATCATATCCAAGAAAATTCACTATAATTAATACGTATTAATCCAACGAATCAATACGAATCATCCATCATTCATGTTCCAGTCACCACCAACCAGCCATTTTTCATCCCATAAAACAACCATTTTGGTTGATTGAATCCCAGAAAATCCCCTGAAATCCACCAAATATTATGGATGGTTCCCAGAAAATACCAATGACTCACGGATTGCTCCTGGGTGAATTGTGTGGATTCCCAAAAATCGATGCTGAAATGAATCAGACTTCACTTTCAGGGGAGGTGTCCCTCGTGTTTATGGTGAATTCAGGTGATTCATAGATTTATGAGAATATACCAAGAATAAACGGAAAAATGATAGGAACCTATACACGTGTTGTGTATATATATATATATACATACACAATTGGATATCTCAAAAAAAAATGGAAAAATCTACGAATTGCGATTTTGATTGAGAAAACGATGGTCAAGCAGGAAATATGCCCCAGTTTTGGATAGACCCATTTGGATGGCTGAGCTTAGATACCAATTTCAAAGAAAATGAGCACCTGAAATAAGGCCATTTAAAATTTGGGATGATTCCCTTCTTACTTGTGCTTAGTAGGGAATTTTCGGGAATGATCCACAATAACTATCAATAATAATCCCAGCAACCCCCAGCAACCCATCCATTCCCTACGTTTAGCACCAGTAAGCCTTTACTAAAATTTAATTACCCATGTGTTGTCGAATTCCTCCATTTATCTGGGCAAATTATAATATTTCACTAACCTGAATTAAGGCCATTTTGGGATGATTCCCCTTACTAACCATGATTTCCAGGGCTCGGTCGCAGTGAGGTCGTTATAATTTACCCAGAACCATTGACCCAAGTTTACGCCGGCCACAAGGTGGCTATCTCAATTCCAATGAGAAAGGGGATGTTCCCACAACGGCTATGACCTGTTTTGTAATTACGGGATGTCAAAAAAAGGAAGGGGATGAAATGGATGAAATCAGGAACACAGAATCTTAAATATTATATATATATCATTATATCATGGTACATAAATGTATAACTGGTAATCCTTATTATTATATCATGGTGTATCAATGTATAAAAAGCCCAGCAAAATTCAGATTGCTGGTTTAAATCCCTGGTACCATAGGTATCCGTGTGTTTTTTAGTCGAGGCTCCTTTCAGAGCAATATCCAGCCCCAAAGGGAACCATGATTTAGTAGGGAAGTTCCACATCATTGGGACCATTAAGGGTGTATATTAGGGGATGGGATTAACTTGAAATTTTAGGGAATCTATCCAACCACGTACTGTGTCTGGATGAATTATCTGGTTAATTTTGCCACTAAATCAGTCAAATGGATTTGCTAAAAAAAGACTGTCGATGTTTTTCTTTGGGAGGGTGGGGAAAACCCTGCCCCTATCCCATATTGACAGTGTTGGTTATGTCATCCTCTAAACCCCACTGTTTGGGGTTCAGTTGCCAATGTGCACCGTATATATATTTTTAGGTATAGTCCCATGGGAGAAACTGACTGAAATTTATAGGGGGTTCCCTACTGGGTTATGATAACTCCTATAAAAGTAGGTAGTATAACTTATATGATAAGCTGCTGATTAGTACTTCGGACCCAACTTTCAAATGTAGGTGGCAGCTGCTGTGACAGTAGAGGAAACAATTGACCCTTTGTCACCTCGAAAACAAAATGTCAAAGGTTGGAGAAGAAAGCGTACCTCGCCTCTGTGTTCACTTCCTTGCTTTCCCCGAAGTACATGGCTAGGCAGGCAGGTCCTATCACATTCCTCCAGTACGACAGTCCGGCATATTCTGTTGCAAGCTCCAGCTTGGCTTTTTGGGTGAAGACTACTACAACCTGCTTTTCGAGGGTGGAATTTCGATCAAAATCCCTCTCAGGGACCAAACGGCAAGGTATTGTCCTCCCAGCATAAAGATCGCCACAAAGCTGGACAATCTTTATGTTCACTTGACCGCTCATGTACACTTGCAACACTTTCAAACGCCATCTTTAGCACCAAAATAGGAATCTGTTAGATGGAGAAGAATTGGAGCCCCTAATCACCTCTGCTTTGCGGATTTTGGACTTCCCTGCCTTTTCACCAATTAGAATTGCAATATGTTCATTTCAGCACCCGTAAGGGGAGCATCCTAAATAGTAGTTCAATTACATACAGTGCTTCTATATATATCAATAAATAGCACATAACACGCAATATGTGTATATATATATATACAATGCACGCAATGTAGTGTGTATATATATATATACATACGCTATATATATATATTATACATACACATATACTCATTATATCTCATTATAAACATATAGACACAGTGTCCTCCCCATGGTTCTTTTGCACCCCATCCGCCATCCGAGCCCTGCTGCCAGTTTGCCAACTCATCGAAGAAGGAGAAGTTGCCGCCCTCGGCCAAGGCCGGCAGAGCCAGGCCCAGGACTCCTTCGAAGGGCGCCTGATGGATCGACCGAGCGACCGATCGACGTTGCAAAAATGTGGGACTTGAGATGATTAGGCAAGAAAAATAGGGCACATAATGGGATATATGATATATAGTGATATATATATATACCTAAGGAGATATAATGGCAAACGATGGTATTTATAGTGAAATAAGCGAATATATATATATATAACCCACTGAAAATAGATGTTGGCTTGAGGTTTGAGCAAAGCTGGTGATATCATAGGGGTGGGGATATTTTATGAGATACGCAATGACCAACTTCATGTATGTCTTGATGTGCTGGAACATTGAAGTATGCCATGGTATGCTCCTAAACCCATCCCAGGCTACTGGTTGATTAGTATATATTCCTATTAGATTGGGCTATAATATGCTCTAATAATCCCCAATAAATTCGGTAGAACGGTAGAACATCCCCCTTTTTTCACCCTAACAGAGGTCTTTTGAATGGCTCAGGTAGCCCGGAAATGCCCGGAATTCCACAAGTCGATGCGGAGAATCATCTTGGAGGGAGTTCACTTCGCGACCCCGCGACCCACATCTGCCTGGAAGAAAATAAGAAAACAGGTCATAGAAAATCCAGAAAGATTCTTTCTATTGAGTGATGTACTATGGATTATATATATATATATGGATTTACTATGTGATTTACTATTTTATTAAAGCCCGAACATGTAAATCATAGTAAACCCGTAGTACCAAAATCGTACAGTTCCTAAATTTCCTAAATCCAATGTAATTCACCTCGTCACACCCGAAAAACAGCTGCCAAACAGTAATTGGATAAGAACCATCGATAAATGGGAATACCCAATGTTTACTGGTTGGTGGTATACCTACCCGATGATGACATTCCCAATATATGGAAAAAAAAAGTTCCAAACCACCAACCAGTTTATCTAGCCACAGATGCCAAAAGGGCCATAAAAACTGCGGCTTTCGATTGCCAGGATTGATTACCAGAGAGTCATCACCCATTTTTTCCGGCTGATCCCAATTTTTGTGTGCTGCATCACAATGTTTGGTAGATCCTCATTTTGGGTGGTTACATCCAATTTTGTTGGGAAAAATCTCAATTTTTTGAATGTGATTGGTTAATTCCCCAGTGTTTTTGGTGACATCCAGGCCCGATTTTGCTCAATCGTCCCCAGTGTTATTGGTTAGGCCCAAATACATATATATATATATATGTGTGTGTGTGCAAATATATATATATATACATAAGTGTACATAGATCCCAGGTTCAATTGTGGTTCTCTATATATATATACAATATACATATACCTGGATCCCCCGCAGCCCAGGAATTTGGTCTGAAGTCATTGAGTCTATTAATCAGATTGATTCCAGAAATCTCGCCTGAGGTAAAAATGCTCGCCTGGAGTGGTTCTGCTCACTTTTCACCACAACGTACAACAACATATATTAATGATAAGAAGAAATGAGACATGAGAACTTCAGATTTTTGTCCAGGTTACAAAAGGTATACTCCAACCCAAGGAACGTTTCATATCTATATTTATGTGTATATTATATATATGTGTATATATATGTATATATATATGTATGTATGTATATATATGTATGTATGTATATATATATATATATGTATATATATATATGTAGTATATATATATGTAGTATATATATATACATATATATATACATATATATATACATATATATATACATATATATATATATACATATGTGTGTGTACATCCACCCTTGTAGACTACCGCGCCTGCCCAAAGGGCTCTTCGCTTAGCTGCCAGCCCGCCACCCATCGCAGCTTTGCGCAGAGAGAGGCCACGCAGATGGGCGCGTCCGCATAGGAGCCGTTCACCTGGGATCAATGCATGGGGACATGGAAAGATGTAGAACCAGAAACAAAAATGTTGCATGAATTATGTAATACTAGTAATACTAATGTAATAATAATGTAATAATAATGTAATAATAATGTAATAATAATGTAATAATAATGTAATAATAATGTAATAATAATGTAATAATAATGTAATCATCCATGTAATAATAATAATATGTAATAGGTAATTGAAACCAGATGAAATATGTAATAATAAACCATGAACTCAAATGTTGCAATTATTGTAATAATAACCCGACATTCATAAGAATATATCATTCATATTCAAATATAATGACTTATAATATTTTACAGGACAAGTAATTTCATTTTACACTGATTATTTTACATAAAGTAATTATTTTACAATAATCTATGACAATCTGTCATGACAGGAAATAAGATGAAATAAGTATCTGTTTTGGATGATTCCCCTGCGCAGCAAAATCCTGGCTCGAATTTTGGGGCTACCTTTGGATGACTTGAAAACGCCCTGTTTGGTTCATTGAAATCCCGTTTGATTTTCCGTGGTTGAAAGTTGAAACCTTCTTATTATCTAAAATCACCATATATCTCCACTATGTGCGTTTGTAACTGCAATATATTGCAATTGTACATGAGAGAACTGCTTGGTTCTGTATATATATAATCACATATATATTCATATATATATATACACATTATATTATATCATATTATATCATATTAATTCATATATATATACATAACCCCATCAAGAAAGGTGAACACATCATGATACATCTACACCTCCATCATCCAAGGCACCTCACCGGTGCCGAAGGTCAAGGTCAAAGGTGGCTCGGGCGACTCGGAGCCAGAGACGCTGCAGGCGTCGTACCTTTCGGAGGTTTCCTAAGTCATGGGGGTAGCCATAGCTATTATCCATCTGATAATGTAAGCAACTATATGGGATATAGATATACTATATATGGGATATATAGATATACTATATATGGGATATAGATATACTATATATGGGATATATAGATATACTATATATGGGATATAGATATACTATATATGGGATATATAGATATACTATATATGGGATATAGATATACTATATATATATGGGATATAGTTGGTTTATGTGTGTGGCTGAATTAACTCTGGTTTATGGTAGATACATATGATATAACGAACTAGTTCATGGGGATTATAATGGTGAGATATGCAACCATATGGGATATAGATATACCAAAGCGAACCCTGGTTCAGTATTGAATCTGTGCATGTTAAGGGTCTCACATTGGTTGTTTATTATTTGGCCAGATGCAATTGGTTCCTTGGATAACCTGTGATACTATATTTGGTGGGGGTGAAACCTAGTGTTCCTGGGTTCGACCCATAGCTGCTTTTTGGCCATGCCATCTCGGAGTACAATTCCCATAAAGTAAAACTATTGAGAACTAGAGTTGGATATTGAGAATTAGATTTTGGCACATGGATGTGATTTGGTTCATTGAAAAAAGTGAGTATTTGAAGGGGGGTTATACAAAGATTGCTTCGGTTTGAGCATACTTTATGCCGAAATCCGATTTGGTTTCTTCTCCCACGTCATCTTCTTTATGGAAATGCAAGGTTTTACCCAAGCGGAAAGTTGATATGCAGTACTTGGCAGGCCATCAATCTTTTTCAAATCTTTACAGGGCTACCCTTCAAATCCTGGTGGGGATTCACGCCATCAAAATGGCCACATGTCTAAACCATCAAATCCGGCCTGGTTCCACTAAATTTAAAGACAAACTTGATATAATCCTGATATATCCTGATATGATTTATTTCATGATTCATGGATATTCACCAGAATTAGTTGATTCTATTCCCATTCTTCAGAGATAAAAAAGGGACTTGTCCCATCTTTCCATTGCCAATCTTAGATACCCTGCAAAAAATGACAAATTCTTTGCTGGTGAACGTAGATATTCCCATTAATACCAAAAGACTAGTTAAGATTAGTTTGTATCCATGTAAGATTGACCTAGTTTTTTGCTCCCTGGCTCCTCACCGCTGTCAAGTTACCTCAACCTGGGCCCCTCTCGTGGCGCGCACGGCAGCACCACGTTGCCGCTGCCAGTGTCGAAACTCACCCCGACCGTGCGCCAGGTGCGCCAGGCGCCGGCTTCGTCGTCGGGAAGGGAGAGGTGGCCGAAGTATCTCAGGTGTTCATGGTGAGGATCAGATAGGGGCACCCTATTTTTGTATATAGCCCATGTATACAATTGTTTATAATTGTATATGATATACATATTCATTGATCCATGTCCAGATAGATTTTTCAAATCTATTCCCCTAATCTTACTGGTGCTTAGTAGGGAATGAGGGAATGATCCACAATCACTATCAATAATAATCCCAGCAACCCCCAGCAACCCATCCATTCCCTACTAAGCACCAGTAAGTCATGGTGAGGATCATGTTTTTTTGCCATCCACAGATGCCTGAAAGTGTTTCCAGGATGTTATAACTGATATTTAAGACATCTTTCCAGGTTTCCACGTTGGTTTTATCTATTTCGGGCTTGCTACAATCGAATAATGGTGAACAAATGATATCTCATATTTTCAGTAGTATTATCCAGCATTCTTAATGACCATGATACATGATATATGATACTATGGGTATGGGATTGTGATATTGGGAGGCATAAATCTATAATAGTATTGGTATACTGTCATTAGGGCAATATCCATCAATACTGACAGTTGTCGCATTGGCTTCACTGCTCACAAAAATCGTTTTTCCTGCGAAATTGCCACAAATTCTCGATAGATACTCCATATTATTTGTTGCTTGGCTCCAACAAAATCCCCCAAAATTCTTCGCTGAACAAATCTCCAAAATCTCCCATATTTCTTCGCAGATCTTCGCAGATCTTCGCAGTCCAATGGGCTCTGTGGTGCTCTGTCGCCTTCCCCAGCGATCCGCTTCCATCCATCGCTGGCGCCGTTGCAGCGGCACGGTGACCGTGCTGGCGGCCCTGGCGCCGGCGACCGTAAGCGCGGCGGCTGTCAGGAAGAGAAACGCAGCCGTCATGCGTCATGGCCGAAGCGAGGAGGGGATGGGGGGAATAGATGAGATTTATTGAGATTTAAGGTTATTATTATTGAATGGGATTTACTTCTTAATGGCTTAAATGAGCTGTACCATGGGAAAAATGTGATTGAATGGGATTGAATGAGGACAAAATGGGATAGATAAGCTAGTTGGCGGTGCATTTTTCAGGTTTGCAAATGGGGAAAACAAAGGGAATTTAAACCCCATTAGTTGGGATACAACCCCCATAATTGATGAACTACAATCATTATAATCATTGTTGTATTATATATATAATGTATCAACTTATAATTGGAACTGCACTTCCAAGTACTACGATAAAAGTTGGTTGAATCCCATTCGCTCATCCAGGATCAAAACTGTTTAGTTCACCCCACTTACAGGGGAAATCCTTCAAGTGGGAGCCGCTGGCTGTTTTGAGCAGATTTTACTCCAAGGAGCACCATACTTGGATATGCATTCGTCAGTGACTTATGACCATCACTAATCATTAATATATACATATATATATACACATATATTTGATGAGTTAATTAGTCATAATCACTATTCTAACTGGGAATCTTCCATATATATATATAGCTGCGGTATTTCATATGGTTACCACTTACGATGCGTGGTATGCATCCCTGAGTCGGTCCTGCTAAAGCTTGGATAAAATTTTCCTGATGACCAGCCTGATGACATACCCGGCCTGGTAAACTAACAGTTTGCTATGGAAAATCACCATTTTTCATGGGAAAATCCACTATAAATGGTGATTTTCCATGGCTATGTTAGTTTACCAGAGGGTGATACAAACTGTAATTAATCTTGCGGAAATGGGCTGCGAAATTCGTTGGCGAATGAGTTCTTGACTGTCGGACATGTACACACCCACAGTTTGCTGCAAAGTTTAAGCATCGAGAAGTGCATCTGCTGATTTCTGATTCCTCCGAAATTATATGGGTATCATTCCGCTCATGAGCCAAGTGCACAGCGCGAGTTCCGCAACAAACGAGTTGGACAGTTGCCGCCCCTGGACGTTTCGGAAACCCCTTTTTTTGATCTCAAAAATCTCTGGCTTAAACGGCCATTTGAATCGGGAAAATGTTGGGGGAACCCAAAAACCTAAGATTTTTTTCAGGCAAAAAATTCCTGTCGTTTTTAGTGAAAAACTGCATCCCTTTTTGGGTCCTAAAATGGGTTTTTTCGGTATGATCTGGAAAAATCCTTTTCATCCCTGTCAAATGGTGAGATCGGATACAGAAAAAATTCTGGATCGTGTCAACCCTGGATTAATAAACCCCGTTTACGGCTGTTTAATTGGGAGGGTACCATAAAAAAGTATCAGATGAAATGACTATTGGAGGGGTACCCCCGTAATTAATAAACCATGGTTTATTAATCCGGGGTTGACATTACACCATAGCCAATAGTCATTCAATGTCATTCACCCAAATGAAACCAGGGGATGATGCGAAGATGTCGCTTTCACATGTGATCAACTGCGCATATTAATCATGAAATCTTAAAAATGTGGTATAAATTATAATGAATTATAAATGTTGTTATAATTGCGTTATAAATGTGATAAATCATTGCAAATCGTAAAACTATGAATATCTGTAAACTGTAAATGTTATCAGTTGCAACTCTGTTATCGTACTTTACATGTTATAAATCTGGATGATCATAATTCACCAATCTGAAATGTTTGTCCACCAATCTTCCTTTAACACAGCCACCCCGCAGCGGACTGAAATGGCTGGGTATTTTGGGAGACTTACATCCCCATCCTAACCATCAATCTACAGTGACCTTAGAATAAATCAATGGGAATTTCAGGATCCTAAAATAGAGGTACTGTACCATGTTTGAAACCATATTTTATGGGGATATTCCCTTACATAGGCCTAAAAATAGGCCTTATAATTCTAGGCCTTGTATATGGTAGGTACCTCCATTTTTTTCGGTGAGTCATGGCCATTGAATACATACCCCAATCATCACCAAACTACGCTTGGGATGACCACAGTCACCGCGGGTGTTTTTTCTCGCAAGCGTTTGGATCTGGTTCTTTCCGTGGTTGGTGGGGTTGGTGGTTTGCACCTACCCTGTGGTAAACTAACAGTTTGCGAACTGGAAAATCACCATGCTATTAATGGGTAAATCAACTATTTCTATGGCCATTTTCAATAGCTATGTTAAATGATCAGAGGGTATCCCTCTTGAGTATGGTTGTGAATCGGGGTATCTGGAAAGCCCTTCTGGGAATGGACAATCCATAGGAGTTCGAAATGATTGATTTACCCATTCAAAATGGGCAGTTTCCATTGCCAGGTAAGATTACCAAAGGCTTCTGAAAAATACAAAGTGTTGTCAAACATTCTCTAATTAGTGGTTTCAACCCGAAAAATATTAGTCAGATTGGATCATCATCCCAACTATTGGGAAAAATAAAAGCCATGTTCCAGTCACCACCAACCAGATCCAACCAGCTTCAGTTTTTTGAGGGTCTTTTCCCACCAGCATCATGAACATTGTCCAGTGAAACCAGTCCTGCGAAATGTCTGGCGGCTCGTGGGGTACCAATGTAGCCACCAAATTTTTGGTCAGGACTAAGTGGACTCGGTTAATTTACCCATTGAAAATGGTGATTGTCCATGGGATTTTAATGGGATTTGATGGTGATCAATAGGGATTAATGGAACTTATCCTCTGGTAAACATACAAAAAGGTATTGAAAATGACCATTTAGTTCGTTGATTTACCTATTAAAGATGGTGATTGTCCATAGTTATGTTAGTTTACTAGAGGGTATCTATCATGTGGTTGGGAAACTCGTTGCGTAGCTCCAACTGGCCAACTGGCTCCCATTTTTCCGGGAATATGGATATAACGGTAGCTCCTTGCAAGTAGCTCCCTCCATTCAGCAATGGATAGTCCAACAACATGAGCCCGTCAATTGGAATCACCAGGAATGCCATTTTTCAGGTTGACATGTTTAATCTGGGTCTGTCTGAAAATGAGGTATCCATAAAATCCCACTGTTAAATATCATGTCCCAAATATTTGTTGGCCATAAATTTGAGATACACTCGTTCGTAACTTCACATAGATATGGAAAAACCAGCACATTTCCCGAACGGGAAACCGTGGATTTTCACTATCCTCTGGCAATTGAACTATCTATCAATTCAACATGGTGATTTTCCAGTTCGCAAACTATTAAATTACCAGAGGATATCATATCTTCATTTACTGGAGCGTAAATCCCCCATTCCTGGAAGAGGCAGACCAGTGACAGAGATTTTTGCCCAGTGACTGTTCAGTATCATTGGTTACACAGCCAGCAAACCACTATTATGTGACAAATAAAATCACATATATATATATATAATATGTACATGTGTGTACTTCTATGTACAATGTGCATCTATATACAACGCACATCCATAGACAATGTACATCTATAGACAATGTACAGCTACAGTATAGACTATGTACAGCCATACACTATGTCTCTCTATAGAGTATATATATGATAGACTATCTACATCTATATCTATCTATATTTTATATAGATTGTCTATATATATATACTTACATACGTTTCAACTTTATTACCCTCTGGTTATTTAACATAGCCATGAGAAATGGCCCATAGAAATAGATGGTTTACCGGTTTACCTATTAATAGCATGGCGATTTTCCATGGCAAACTGTTAGTCATAACCAGATGGTAAGGTCGTATAGATGGTTGGTGCATGTCTATCAATATCCCATGCGGATTCGTTGCCACGCCTCGTGCACGGCGAGTGGACGATGCCTCGCGCGCAACTCGCGCTGGCTATTCGGCTTCAAGCCATCACCAGAATCGGGGGGTTCACCAAACTTACTGGTGCTAAACTCACGTAGGGTTGCTGGATGGGTTGCTGGGGGTTGCTGGGATGATGACATTACGAATGTGATGATTTATGGAGAAAATTCCCTCAAATTCCCTGCGTAAAACGCACCTTACGTAAGAAAAGCGCCAAAAAATCGCCATTTCATCAACAACACCATGATTTTAAACGAGAGAAATGATGAGTTCACTAAGAATTGTGTACCCCTGAACCAACCAAAATGATTGTTTAAGCAACATGAGGGTTTCAGCAGCTGAAATCGGACGAAAGCTGACAAGGATGAGGATTCTATTGATGTGGTACCCTCTGGTAAACATACAAAAAACTATGGAAAATCACCATGTGGAATAGGTAAATCAACTCTTTCTATGCGCCATTTTCAATATGTTAGTCATTACCAGAGGGTCAACACATTCGTACAGTAACTTGGGATCATCAAAAGCAGGAATTTTCACAAGTAAAACGCCTTGCAGAAACCGCCAACATATCATTGGAAGGGTGGTCCACAGGTGATTTCTTCCAGCGATCGAAAGCTCCAGCTTCGTGCAGGGATGTCCTAGCCAGGAAAATGTTCATGTTCACAGGTGAAAAAACCCATCCCAACACAGGAATTCCAAATCACGATGGATATCAAATATATCAAGAAACGATAAATGAGTGACCTAAATTGTGCTTTTTAATGGGGTTTATATCATTTAAAACCATGATATCCCCATGATATCCCCATGATATGCACCATTTAATGGGGATATACCCTCTGGTAATTTAACGCTTCACAAATCACGCCTGGAATTACCGTTGCAAAAGTGTCGAAACCTGCCAATGGCCACGGGATTTCAGCCCGTTCAAGGATCCAATCAGGCAAAAATAGGGTTCCAACCAGCCGAGCTTGTGATGCAGCCAGGGAAATTCATTGAATTTCACCATGAAAGGCGAGGACTGAACCACGAAAAAAATTGGATCTCAGAAGTCAAAATGGTATTTTTTTTTTGGGGATCAAATGTAACATTTGGCCTTGCATTCCAATAGACGTGCATTGGATGGGCTTCAGAGAACTATGTGTACATACAATGGGGTGTCTTGGAAATGGGTCCCGGTATACCCCCGAAAAATAGCTTAGCTATTTCACGGGGGAATCTGATGACTATAAACCACGATCCTCAATTGCAATGCACGCGCAGAGTCCGGGCATTGCGCATGTATACACATATGTGAGTATAATAGAATACATACATATATATATATATGTATATATATGTATATATATACGTATAGATATGTATATATATATGAATATATATGAATATATGTATACATAATTATATAATACATGAGTTGTAAGTGATGTCTTAGCTCAGATGTCTTTTTCCTTCAGGCTGGCCCCGAATCTATCCGTTTGACGGCGCACCTCACGTTCGGATCATGGTCATAAACCTGGCGTGAAAACAACGAAGCCGTGGAAGCTGGGGAGCTGCAAATGGAGCTATCCCCGATTTTAATGGGATTAATGGGATCTTATGGTGATTTTAATGGGATTAATGGGACATACCCTCTGGTAATTTAACATAACTATGGAAAATCACCATGTTTAATGGGAAAATCCACTATTTCTATGGCCATTTTCAATAGCTTTTTGTATGTTTACCAGAGGGTAATGGAGTTCATCAACAAATATTAGGTGCTTCAAAAATAATGGGAATACACTGGAATGTAATAGGTGATTCATGAAGCACCATATTATGAATATGGGATTAATAATGACATCACTTATGAATCACCTATTGTTCATTAATAATGGGAATGTAACTAACAATATAAGTGATATGAATTAATGAATAGGTGATGTCATGGGGATGTAATGGACTAATAAGGATTTATCCAACAACTAAGGCAACACAGGGGGGATATTTCATGGGATATACAAGGATATACCTAGCAATAATGGACATAATGAAGAGTGTATGGAGTCAATCAACAAACATGGTGATATAATGGGAACATGCAACCAACAATATGATTTATATGGGTGTCTCTGAAAATGCAATATACATCAATATACCCTAAGTTATGGCAAAATTAAGGCAAAAAACTGGAGTCTCCGGGCTTAAGTTATATCCCAACCCACTTGCTAGCTGGTGTGAAAGTAACCTAGTGGACCCCAACCGCTCGTAAACACGGCAGAGGAACTCATTGAAATCGATGAAGCCTGAGCAGCAAACTTGGAGTTGACCAGTTGAACATAGGACTGAACTCATCAAAGGACTGCCAAAGTCCTAAGAAACCCTGAAAAAATGATGAGGACTTCCATAGTTATGTTGCCATAGTTACTGCCAAAGTTGCAGGTAAATCCCTTGAAACAACTGCCGTCTTATAGGGGGATGAGTCTTTCAAAAGCTGCGCCAGGTGTGTACCCTCATCGAATGGTGATGTACTATTAGTTCATTTACTGTAACAGTTTAACAGAGTCACAGAGAAGTACCCATGTGCAGATATAGCAATTTTCCATGGCAAACTGTTAGCTTACTCAGGGTAAGAGTACAGAAAGAACCAAAAACATATCCAAAAATCAGTGGTTCCCTGGTTTCACATCCTGGTTGACCATTGAATTTTTTTCTCCAGATATTTTTCGTCATTGACGAGATCCCAAGAAATGCAGTTGCAACACCAAGAATCCTATAGTAACTCCCCAAAGGATGGGAAAAGTAAGACTAGCTTATAGAAAAATCTTTGAAGGTAGAACATATATCTAATGTTGTCACCATGTTCTATCCTCCAAGAAAAATCACTAGGATTGCACATATATCGACCTTTCGATCGAGCCTACTCTACAGAATTTGCTGCCGATTCAACCAACGAGGGGATTTAGATTCTTAGATAGTTGATCATAGGGAAGTTGCTACACATTTATGGATTAAATATGTATTATGGATTTGGGTTTTAACCCACCAACTAGGCTAACTCATGGAAAACTAGGCTAAGTTGATCTAACTTTCGTGGATTGCTGATAAATTTAGCCTCTGGTAATTTAAGTTACACAACTTGCGAACTTGAAGCCATGACCCATAGAAATAGTTGATTTATCATGATTTACTCATAGGTATGTTAGTTAGTTACCAGAGGCTACGGATATTTATGGTAACTATATCGAACTAGTTTCTGGTTATGAAGCCACTATAGCGGCCCCACATTGGAACCAACAACCAGGGATGTTGACCAAGAACACGCCAAAATTGGATGTCTGGTGCATTATAACAGCTCTGAAGTCCAACATGAAACCAATAAAAGAGAACAGGCATTTACCCTCTGGTAATTTAACATAGCTATTGAAAATGGCCCATTGATAGATGATGTTCCCAATAAAACCTCCATTTATAATGGATTTTCCATAGCTATGTTAAATTACCAGAGGGTAAAAGATACCGTTCATCCTCGTCTTTATCGAAACCAAGTAGTGGATCCATTCCTATTTTTTTTCGTGGGATCCCAACTTCGGTTGCTAAAATCTGTTGGCTGGCTAACTCGTGCTAAATCCATGTTTTTTAAGCGAGTTTGCTCGTGTCATGGTTCATTCTTGACTACCCTCTGGTAAAGAAACATGGCCATGGAAAATCATCCTGTTCCATGGCCATGGAAAATCATCCTGTTCAATGGCTAAATCAACTTTCAATGGCCATTTTCAATAGCAAACTGTTAGATTACCAGAAGGTATTCTACGTAATGAGAATCAATGGTTAATGGTAACCAATGGTACGTTGATTATGGGTATTGACGATAAATGGTCCATGTTCAATAGCTATGTTAAATTACCAGAGGATCCACATCGTTTTTCTGCTTTAACTCACCGGTCTGTCATGGCCAATCTTCGATACGCTAATGGATATCTAGCTGGTTTGTATTATACATCCACTATTAACCATTGTTAGTGTATATTTATATATCAGATATTATATCAGATATTATATCAGATATTATATCAGATATTATATCAGATATTATATCAGATATTATATCAGATATTATATCAGATATTATATCAGATATTATATCAGATATTATATCAGATATTATATCAGATATTATATCAGATATTATATCAGATATCAGATATTATATCAGATATTATATCAGATATTATATCAGATATTATATCAGATATTATATCAGATATTATATCAGATATTATATCAGATATTATATCAGATATTATATCAAATATTATATCAGATATTATATCAGATATTATATCAGATATTATATCAGATATTATATCAGATATTATATCAGATATTATATCAGATATTATATCAGATATTATATCAGATATTATATCAGATATTATATCAGATATTATATCAGATATTATATCAGATATTATATCAGATATTATATCAGATATTATATCAATATATACAGATATTATATCAGATATATATCAGATATTATATCAGATATTATATCAGATATTATATCAGATATTATATCATATTATATCTATTATATCAGATATTATATCAGATATTATATCAGATATTATATCAGATATTATATCAGTATGAGCCTACCTGAAAAATGATGGAGTTCGTCAGTTGGGATGATGAAATTCCCAACTGAATGGGAAAGATAATCCATTCCTGTTCCAAACCACCAATCAGCTATTTATTGAAGTCTTAAACTAGTCATCCAGTCGGTGTATGTACCCACTCTATGTGAAAATTGTTTATATATCCCATCATTGCCCAATGTATCCGTTTACATCTCATATCATCTCATTATATCCAATTGCCTCCCCAGAACTGTTTCGTTGAAAAAACATCCACGAGTTGGGAAGCCAATGTCCCCCACCATTGGTTCGATTCCCAGATTTCTCCACGAAAAATCCAATGGATTCCCCAAGTCATGAGGTCAATGGATCTTCAGGGAAAATCTGAAAACCGGAAACCATCAGATTTTCCTATGAAAATATCGATGTTTCCGGTTAAACATAGTTCCCTGAAAAACCAATCTATTGAATGGTGAATTCATCAGTGAATTAGTATGATTTTATGGCTTAATGATGTTTAATGGGCATAAAATAAGAGTAACACCCTTGGATGGGTGGCTATGGATTGGGGTACACCCTGTTTTTGGATCAACCTGAATGAACAGCTGGAAACACTCAAAAGACGGCTTTCGAAGATTCTTAACCTGTATTGCTCACAATTGAAGACCCCAGGAATGGACTAACCATTTAGTATGGTTTTATGATGTTTTATGATGTTTACATATAAACATATATGATACACATTCATTTACTATGTTATTCATTTACTATGTTTTTATGGTTTTACCGGTTTCATCTTTCCCAGCCATTGATATTCTGGTTGAAGACGTTCGATCCAGGGAACCATCTCCGTTCGTGTCCACTTCCTTCACAATGCGCTCGATTTGATCCTGGACGGCGCAAGGCTAAGGCCGGCGCAAGGGCGCCGTCGCAGTATGGATCTTTTGGGATTTGATTTAACCGATGGTGTGGGGATAATATGTATATTATATATACATATATATATATACAATACATATATATATATAGTGTATATATATAGTCTCTATATACATATATATATATATAGTGTATATATATAGTCTCTATATACATATATATAGTGTGTATATATATATACACATTATAGAGATGTCAAAACCAAATTTACGATATGATTTTTTGGCTTTTGGGTTTGTCCGTGCCCGAAAATGGGTTGTGCCCCGAATTTAATGGGAAAAAAATCATTAGCCAATAAATTTGGACTGACAGTACCTTCTCTTCAACCAAAGCCACATCAGTATCTGGGTAAACTGTAGTGATTCACCAACCTTACCCTCTGGTGATTTAACATAGCTATGGAAAAGCACCATTTTCAGTAGGTAAATCATCATAAATCCTCCATAAAAAAAAGTCACATCCCCATTTTTCATACCTAAATCATCGAACTAAATGACCATTTTCCATAGCAAACTCTGAGTTTACTGGAGGATAAGCTTCGATTCGGGCACCTTCGATTTTGGCATGTTCCGTGTTCCGCTACTCCTCGGCGATTCTCTTCGAAGCTACTCAGTGGCTTTCCCACAGCTATCCATTGATAATATCCATTGATATCCAGTAGATATGATGGTTCTTCGATGATGTTTTACCTATCATTTTGAGGTGTCCAACTGTTCGATCTTTTTTGAGGTTACTGTATATAATATAGATACATATCGATACATTATATTGTAATTCTGCCCACTTACATCAAGTACAAAAAAACTACCCATGACCAGTCGGCTTCCCTTTAATCCATCTACGAACCATCTACAAGTTTGGATCCAACAAAGTCCTGCTATCCAAGATACTAAGCAGTTTTTCAACCATCCCGTCAGATGAGTATAGCTCGTCACACCAACAAGATTTTGAAAAAAATAACGCAATACCCTCTGGTAATTTAACAGTTTGCTATTGAAAATGGCTATTTAGTTCGTTGATTTACCCATTAAAAATGGTGAAATGGTGATTTTCCATAGTTATGTTAGTTCACCAGAGGATATGTCCATTGAATTCTGAAAGGGAACTGCTACACATGAAAAAACCTCAGACACCAAATTTCAAGACGTGATCTATATTTATTTGATCCATTCTGAAAAACTTGTGGAAAGAAAATCCAGAAACAACCCACCAACTTACCGAAGTATCTACCCTCTGGTAATTTAACATAGCTATGGAAAATCACCATTTTTAATGGGAAAATCCACTATATATGGTCATTTTCAATAGCTATGTTAAATTACCAGAGGGTATCCATAACAACTTGCCCATGTCACCAAACCAAGCCCAACCCCTTTTTTGTTTTTTTCAGTTCTCCGACCTTGGAGAGCGTACTGTGCACCTGCGGAATGGGATGGGAAAAAAGAACGGACAAAGATCGAAACCAAAAACTTACTGGTGCTAAACTTACGTAGGGTTGCTGGATGGGTTGCTGGTTGCTGGGATGATGACATTGATAGTTAGCCACTAAATCATTCCCTCAAATTCCCTGCGTAAAACGCACCGTTTCGGGATGGTCTTGTTGTAAAAAGTACTAAAATAAATGTATGGTGACTTGGGGATCGTTTAAAACGGGTACAAAAAAAGGGGGTACCATATATATATATATATATATTATATTATATTACCCTTTATATACATATATAACTTAACTATGTATGTTCATATATATATATATATACATATACATATATAATATAACAAAAAATAACTAACCTGACAGTAAACTGACATTTAGATATGACAAATTTAAAAACATGGCTGGCATAAATTGTGCAATTTTCCATCGGTGTGAATTTGCATGTGATTTGCTCCTGTTTGCAGCAAAAGAATATCCAAACATTGAGAACCCACTTACTACTTGGTGGCGAACTACCCACGGCTCGCAAGTGGGTTAGTTCACCCCAATTAGAAGTGGATTAACCCTACAAAAATCCCATGCAAATCACTGGGGTGAACTAACCCACTTCCCACTGTCCCGAGCAATCAGGGTGAACCACCCAACAACAACTGATGGTCAATCCAACATTTTCTGGCGATAATTGGGATGCCCATTAGATCACCATATTTACTGGTGAAATCCCCATGTTTACTGCTTGCTCAAAATTCATGTTTACTTCCTCAAAGTCCCAAAAAATTGATGGTTCATCAACCACATCTATTCATCGTTTCCCAACATGGCAAGTTTTGACATTTACAATTTATATCTCCAGATTTTCTACTAAAATGGCATTTGTTTTTTTTTGATGTGCTTCAAATCCGCCGATCCGCCATCGTAGGCCGTAGCCACCGAAAAACCCGAAAAAATTCTCTCGTTCCTCGCCTCCTGGGACGAGAGCACTTCTTCCAACTCTTTCTTGGAAATTCGGCCATCATCTGGCGAGGAAAACCCACCCACGGAGCGCAGGAAACTTAGGGATGCCCATTTTGGGTGGTCAAAAATGTCGTTTTCGAGAAGTTCGAAGAAACTTGTAGATAGAATCCTAAGGGTTCACGATTTTCTTAGAATCTGGGAGCGCATGAAACATGTGGCTCCATAAAGTGGAGTCAAGCGCAATTGAAGATGCAATGCTGTGGCCGCTGACGCAGTGGTGACCATTTCAGGAACCGATGTATTGGAGGTGCCTTCCATACGATGATTCAGGGCTGTGTTTCGGGGATCCTGAAAAATTATGTGGTTTTATGAAGTACAGTACCTCTAGTGTACCTGAAATTGCCATTGATAATGACCCATATCTGGCCTTGATCATTCATTAAAGTAAATAAAAAACCCATTTGGATATGGTCTTCAATAGCAGCCAAATGGGAAAATCGGAGAATTTCATGCTGCCTTGTGGTCGTCGTGATTTGTCTAGATATGTATGCATGTATGTATATATATATATATCATATATAATTATATGATATTATATGTAGTATAGATATAATATTATAAATTATACAAATACCATCCATATTTGTAGAACCGGGGATATTCCATATATATATATGGCTAGGTTAATTTTCGTGTTTTTGGCCCACCTAGTTGCTGGGATGCGCCCCGTGTGGAAAATTGCTAACTTGGGGCATAGCAATCCCCAAAAAGACAGGATTCAGTGAGATATGTGGGAGAAATTACATAGTATTTATTTAGGAAATTACAGTAATGGCAATTTTAGGTGTTTACTATTTTATAGTATAGTGGCAATTTATAGTAATTATGTAGGAAAGTACAGTATGCAGGAAATTGCTATTTGAGTGAGTTTTGACCCTTCTATCATTGTAGGGGTTGCTATACGTATGGCGTAACTTTTCGCGAAACTCCAAGTTTCTTGGAGAACAGACTGCAGGTTCGTACACCCAGGTGGCAATAAACCTACCATTTGGAAATGATCCCATTACCACCCCTTTATGATACTACCTTGGGACTAACCATGGGAAAATGGTGGTTTTATGGGAAATTCATAGGAAAATCATGGGAAAATGGTGGTTTTACCCTCTGGTTATGTCAAAATAGCTATTGAAAATGACCATTTTTTTATGGGAAAATCAACTATTTCTATGGCAATTTTCAATAGCTATGTAACAAATGACCAGAGGGTACTATTGGGATCGTTAATTGGGTTTACCCCATTACCCTAACGGCAAAATCACCCATTTGGCTCGATGACTTCCCCGGCCAAATAATCTGATATATCCACTAATCATCCATTAATACTATCCATGAACGATCCATTACTGGTTGGTGCTTTTTCGCCACCCCTCTGAAAGATATGAGTTCGTCAGTTGGGATGATGATTATTCCCAATATATAGAAAATAAAAGCCATGTTCCAAACCACCAATCAGATATAAATAAATAAATAATACCCATAAATAATTATACCATAAATACCATGATATAATCCATAAATACCATTTTATATAACCATAATTATACCCATCTAGATAATCCCAGCATTTGTGGACAATTTGGTCATATCGCTGCCAGGGTCATCTCACCATGAAAGAACTGAAAAATCTGCAGAATTCAGTAATGTGGGTAGAACAACAATAAACCATCCCCCAATCACCATAAATAGGTGGTATGGTTATGGTATAAATCATTCCCAAATAGGTGGTTGATCATTGTTTTAACCACATTGGAAAATATTATATAGTTCATATCAACCAATCAATGTATAACCGTCCTCACAAAAAAAAGAAACCACGACCAAATATGATATGGTTTTCTACAAATCACATGGTCCATGCCAAAAAACGTTTCAAGCAAGTCAGACGACCATCCCCACGACCTCAAAGGGAAAATGGTGACCCACGTAATTTGACCCCATGGAAAACAATGGGAGATCTCCAGGATCCTATATATATATATGGTAGGTACGTTAGTACCATATAATATAAGGCCATATTTTGGGACGATGTCCCCTGAAAATTAGGCCTGAAAAATAGGCCTTATATATGGTAGGTACCTCCATTTTAGATCCTGAAATTCCCATTGAGTAAAATGTTTCCCATTGGACAAGGCTTCTACGGCTACAGAGTCGGATCTGCCGCACCGTTCTTGTCGAAGACGCGGAAGGCCGCCCACACCGCACTCTCCTGCACCTTGCCATTGCGGCGTCCGTTGAAAGGTGGTTTTTTGCGAGGGGAAACAGCGGAAAGAAACAGTTCATGGGATGTCATGGGATTTTTTCCACACCATTACACGCCCATATATCAGAAGGAGATATCGTGGGTAGGTGCCCATGATTGAATTTTAATGAAAGTAGTCGTATTCAGTATCTTCAATTCCCTTTTTTGATGAAGGCCATCCACGAAAACAGGGCTGCCCGGCATATGGAGGTGTCACGCATCGCATGTTCAACATTGGGACTGAAACGCCAGCCATGCTTTCCAAGCTTCATTTCCCGAGAACTGCTATGTGATGTACACATTAACTGTCGCATCTGTACTGGTTGGTGGTTTCAACCCCTCTGAAAAATATGAAAGTCAGTTGGGATTATTATTCCAAGTGTATGGAAAATAAAAAGTGTTCCAAACCACCAACCAGTGTACATACAAAAAAAAAACTTGCAAAAGTACATCAGGCTTGAATCACCACACTGTCTTCGTGCGCTGGCCAGTTCTCACATTTCGGTGCCAGGGATGTTGCCCGGAAACTAAAGAGGAAGCCTAAAAAATAGCTGTTGTTGAAAGGCACAAATCTTACTGGGAAACAATCACTCTTGGGTTCCATGTGAAATCTGGATCATGCGTGTACCATATGCACATTGTTTCATGAATTTTCATGGCAAACATAGCAAACATCAGCTGGGTTTGGTTCAAGACTATTACTGTAAGCCTCACCATAAATTTGATGCTTTGGATCCTAAAACAACAGCAAGTTCGTCTATTGCTTCCCCAGGAATCTATCTATCCATCTTCTGTGCCCATTTCTCTGAATTGGATTTAGGGAAAAAATACAGGACAACCTGGTATTTTGACGGTGAAAGCCAGATGTTTGCTATGAAGAATCCCATGATTCTTGGCCTAAATCACATGAAAAGTCAGGATGTTTGCCGGAATCCTGGCCTAAATTCCCATGAGTTTGTTGGTGCTATAAATCCCCATGATGAAAATCCAATTAAATATCAATCTTTGCGGAACTGGATTGCCCAGTGAATCCAACAGTTCATCATTAAATCCAGTACCCGGCCTGGTAATGATTTAATGGGATTTTAATGGGATTTTAATGGGAAAATGGTGATTTAATGGGATTTTAATGGGATTTTATGGTGATCAATGGAACTTACACTCTGGTAAACATACAAAAAGCTATTGAAAATGGCCCAGTCGACATAGTGGATTTACCCATGAATAGCATGGTGATTTTCCATAGCTTTTCGTATATGTTTACCAGAGGGTAAATCCCAGAAAATTGCTGGCATGAGAAATCCACACCCCAACTCGACACAACTTGAGACAACTCCAATCTGGGCTCCCACCAGCGACTTTCTTTCCATGGCCGCTGCCAGGAATTCCGTGTAATCCTCAAGGGCCACGGAGGAAATCCTCCAGGTTCAAGCTTCGTTGCTTGTTCTTCCCTGAACCAAGGGGGTACCCCATGAAAATGTTGACTTCTTTCAGAAAGGAAAGGGGGTCCCAAGCTGAGAGATACTCCATTCTTATCCATGATTATTGGATATCATATTAACCAGTGTTAGTGTGTATATATATATATATTATAATATCTCATATGTGTGAGTATATATGAGATATTATATCCAGCTATCAGAAGTGTATTAACCATTGTTAATATCCATTATAATCCATTATAATCCATTATAATCCATTATTAACCGTTATTGACCATAATTAGTGTGTATATATATATATATCCGTTAATTATCAATATCATCCATTCATTGTTTTAATACAACCCATTATAATTATTAATAATAACCATATCTCGTAACTATATAAATATATACCCAATCCAAAAATGATATTGCTAGGTTGTGAAGAGTCTTTTGGTGGTACCCCTGATAATCCATGATTAACCATTATTAGCCATTGTTAGTACATATATATATATCATAACCGTATCCATCAAAAAATGATCATACATCATAACTATTAACCATTGTTAAGCAGTGTTAATATCCATTATAGTCGATTATTAACCATTGTTAGTGTATATTTATATATCAGAAATTATATCAGATATTACATCATAATGATACCCATCAAATATACCCTCTGGTAAACATACAAAAAACTATGGAAAATCACCATGCTATTAATGGGTAAATCAACGATTTCTATGGCCATTTTCAATAGCTATGTTAAATTACCAGAGGATATATCAATGTTATATCCATATCATGTTATATTCCCAATGTTAAATACCATTTTATATAACCATACTTAACTGGTAGGTGGTTTTAACCATCTTGAAAAATGATGGAGTTCGTCAATGGGTTTCGGATGACATCCCATATATGAAATGGAAAATAATTCATTCATGTTTGAAACCACCAACCAGTTAATTATCCCATTATCATCATAATCTTCTATAAATTATCCCATTATTGGCTATATAACCATCTATAAATACCATTTTATATAACCATAATGATACCCATCAAATCTACCGTATATAAAATCACCAGTCTCCCAGCCGTCTGTCGCAGCGAGCCACAATCTCGCCCGAGCCATCCGCATCCAGCGACGTCGCAAGGGTATGGAGCTCCTTTTTGGGTTTTTTTGGGTCAATTTTCCATGGGGAATCCGTGGGAAAATGCTTGGAACATGTGATTTTTCACTGGAAAAAATGATGATTTGAGAAGATTGACTGGAAAAAAATACCATGCAGATGTTTAGAAGATTGTTCCCATCATTTTTTGCTGGAAGATTCAAGTAGTGATCATCCAATTGGGGAAATGATGGTTTTTGTTCACTGAAGAATGGATGTTGGAAGCTTTCTACCCCTGAAAACCGTGCAAAAAATTGCTCGGAAAAATCGTGGTCCATGGGAACTGGAATCTGACTGGATCAACTCTTCGGAAATACGAGGGAATGTGGAATAGCAATACTGTTAATAATGGTTAATATATTGGTTAATAGTGGTTAATCATGGCTTAATAAAAGTTAATAATAGTGATTAATGGATAACTAATGATGATTAATGTGGTTAAAACAATGCCATAAACCACCCATTTGGGAATGGTTTATATATATATATATACCACCTATTTATGGTGATTTGGGGGATGGTTTATTATTGCTTTACCCACATTACTGCAAAAAATATTTAAACACATTGTACTACTTAAGTTCAGTGGTAAATTTGTCACGTGCTAAAAATCTTTTTGGGGGTCACTCTAGATTCAACAAGAAACATGTAGAAAGAATGGGAAGACCGCAGACTCATTCAGCAAGATTCAGCAAGAACTATGGGGGTGTCAAAAGGATAAAAAAAAGTTTCTGCGGCAAATGCCAACGAAAGGTTAGGGTTTAAGCAACGACAACAGGTCCAAAATTGCTGGAAGTTTACGAAACCCATTTCTCCTAGGGGGCTGATTGGTGATCAATAGCCAGCCAAAGACGGTGTCAAAAAAAAAGATGTTCCAACTTCTGTTGGGGCCCAACAAAACGGAAACTCGCTTAAAGGTCCTCCCAATGGGTATATATATATAGTTATATAGTAAGTGGATAATAGCTATTCAGTATTAAAACAAAACAGTTGTAGATGTATGGATTCTCTTCAGTTGAAAAAAAGTAAACTGTTCACCACTTACGATTCCTGGAATGCACATCCAATCCCACCATGCATGATGACCACCTGTCCTTGTTGCTCAAGCCACCCGCCAGGCCCGCTTTCTTCCTCGGTGGTTCGGTTCGGCTGCGTCGGAGGGGGAGTACCCACTTTGGTGTAGAAACCAGGAGAAAAAGATGGTGAAATCACTATGTTAACTAGTATCAAATTACTAATTAGCAATCCAGGACTTTCAATTGATGTATCACCCGTCTTATCACTATCTTAGTCGGATTTTACTCATGCTAAAAATATCCATCTATTGAGGGATTGCTGTTTTTTCTCTGGGTGTAAATATATTATATATAGGATATGTATGATATGATATCTTGTTTAATGCAGCGACCCAGTTCATGGACCTGCTGGCCCCCGGATGAGGCAAAAAATGCCCCCGTGATGAAGGATTGGCAATGATTGCTTCTAAAAGTTGGTACCAAAATCTGTTTATAAAATGCTCCCATTAAATCCCATTAACGTTGGGTATCTTCCGATTAAATCCCATTGAATCCCATGTTCTTAAAGTTGGTACCTGTAAATCAGTTATGCTACCATTAAATCCCACTGGTTGGTTATGTCCCGATTAAATCCCCATGGTTCCCAACAGGGTGGAACCAGCAGCCACTGCTCATATTTTTAAGGACCTGCTTCAGGAGTCCCACAAAAGAATAAAACTATTCCCTTCATCGATTCCCCATGTCTAGTGGATGTTCCATTGGGAAAATGAAAAAAACATGCTTTGACATAATTCTGTTTTCTTATTATTAGAATCCTGGTCAGTTGTGGCTTCGATGTGTTCAGTTGCGTGGGAGGGTAGCTGACGGCAAGTAACAAGTTACCAACCCCCAAAACGTGGTGGTTCAAATTGAAGATCCGCATTTCTTCCAAACTAATTCAAGTACCGAAACCTATATAAGTTGACTCACAATTTGGCTTTGTCTGAAATTAGTGTACCCTCTGGTAAACTAACATAGCTATGGAAAATCACCATGTTTAATGGGAAAACTCACTAGAAATGGCCATTTTCAATTGCTATGTTAAATTACCAGAGGGTATCCCCATCTATGGCCATTTTTGCTAGGGAAACCATTTACCAAACCAGCCACAAATTGCCGAATCACTTCAAGACCACCATCTGGTGCCCACAAACTCGATCCACCACTCTCCGCAGCAAAAATTGCTGTTTACGGCCGGGACAGAAAAACATGAAGCGCTGGAGAATCCTCCAAGTTATAGTTGATTTCCCATATTTCCCCAGCTAGAAACCTCCAATTCTGGTGGAAATGTCCATGAAAAAACCATGAAAAAAGCACCATTTTTCATCGGGAAAAAGGAACATTTCGGATCCTCTCCGCCAATTGGCATTAAGCCGAGCGGCATGCCCTGTTTCAGCTCGGCAAAAGTGATGATGCCATCTCCATTCTCGTCCAGTTCGTCGAACTGTTTCTTCAACCTGGAAGTTGATGCCTTGAGTGTATTAAGAGTCGGGCAATAGTTGATAATGCTTCTTAATGCTGGGATATAATATTATAGGTTGATATATATATATATATCTATATACATATACATATACATATATTATATACATATTGTGGTTCCTCATTGTAATGATTAATGATGGACAATATTGGGACAAGGGGACATTGGCTGGCGGGAAAATCCCTCATTGAGCTCGATGATTTTCGCAAGAAACCTCGGGATTTGACATGATTTGACCAAGAAATATGATGATCTTCCATGGGACTAACATCTAACCAAAATTTGAAACTGTGGGACATTTCAACGAGGATTCATCATCAGTTGGGCATTGTTCAACAAGAAACCTGGAGATTCTGCGCTAAAAAAAAAACGGGAAACCAATTATCATGTTTCGCGTATGTTTTTGCTGATTGTCTCATTCAAACCTCCATTTATAGGTAGTCAAAAATCAAAGTTATGTCCCATTCAGAAAACCCACCTGATGAAATTGGTTAAGTTAGTAGATGTTTAATACGATGCTTCAATAATCCTATGGTTAATAAAATAAACCCCCATTTATGCTGATGGCTAATAGATGCTTACTAGATGGTAAGCAAATACATGGATATTATGGTCAGTTGTTAATAATAATTATTATATGGTTAATACATGCTTATATCATGTTATATACAATCTAATGGTTAATTAGGTCATCTGTTCCCATTTCAAAGCCATCCCATGGTCAATAAGATGCTTCAATAATTCTATGGTTAGTAAAATTCAGTGAACCACCATTTATAGTTAACCACAGAATTTTATTAACCATAGAACTATTAACGACCATTTCTTAACCCAGTGATAATTAAGTTAATTTATGGTTATTAACCTCAGTTCGTTCGATCGAAATTCAGTCATTCAATGACCATTTCTGGTTGGTGGTTTCAACCCCTCTGAAAAACATGAGTTCGTCAGTTGGGATTATTATTCCCAATATATGGGTATGGGTCAATACCTATAGATACATTTTTAGTGGGATGAACATCCATTTACCAGCTATTTTGGGGTTCACTAGGTACCAGGGTTTTGACCCATCCCCATATGGAAAAATAATCCAAATGTTCCAAACCACCAACCAGATATAAATAAATAATACCCATAAATAACCATAATTATACCGTAAATACCATGATATAATCCATAAATACCATTTTATATAACCATTATTAATCCCATCTAGATAATCCCAGCATTTGTGTTAATATCCATTGTAATCCATTATTAACCATTGTTAGTGTATATTTATATATCAAATATTATATCCGATATTACATCATAATGATACCCATCAAATATACCCTCTGGTAAACATACAAAAAACTATGGCAAATCACCATGCTGTTAATGGGTAAATCAACGGTTAATACCATTTTTAACCAGATTTCTTAACCCACCCCATCATCCCATCCGTTGCTCGGCTCGCCAAGAGGCTGCGTGAAGACTTCGTCGTGCTGCTGTCGCGCCAGGATGGCCAGGGCCACTTTCTTCAAGCGATTCTCAGCACCTCCGCTGGTGACGTTCGGTGGGGCCCCCGTTGTTGAAGTAACATGGTCAAATTGGTTGAAGTAACTCCAATAAGATAGGGTTTGTTTAGGGAGAACATAACTGATATAACATTATAATACATATATATATAATATTTAACTTAACTATATAGTTCGTGGAGTTGAAGCAACTTGCAGCTGGGGGGGCGTCTTGTAGCTATCAAAAATGCACCATTTTGTTCCATGATTTACCTATTAAACATACCGAACTGTTAGTTTACCAGATGGTAAATGGTAGATAGATGGATAGGTGAAATAGATCTAGGCAACATTAAATAACTGCCGGCATCGCCAAAGCATGAGTTATACCAGTTATACCACATAATTTCACCATCCAGGGTTCTTCAAAATATATTGGGCAAAAAAAAAATCAGGGATTTCTCTGTGGAATAGCCATGGAAAGCCACCTTTTCTACTAGGTTTTTCTGGGCCATCTTCCACAGCCGATCATAAACCATCTTCTGAACCTCACACAGAACCCGTCAAAAATAGTAGTAGCTTCCGAAAATGATATTTTAAAACGAAAAACCCTACCTTATTGTGGAGTTCCATGGTAGTTAGCAGAAAAAACTGGGGCGTTTTTGGGGCATCAACCAGCCCAGCGTCAACCAGCCCCCGCCATCGTCTGGGGCATCCCACTGTATTTCCTCAGGTTGTTTAGCACTGCCTTGCAGCTTCGGTGACGTTCTCTGTCTGGGAAAATCGATCAGAGAACCCTCTATTAGTCTATGAGCCAAACGGTATGTATACATAATATGCATATATGTATCCGCATAGAATGTGAGATACGAAGATAAACTATTCAAAATCTATATAACTGTTTTATGTATGTGTATAGACATGTGTATGTGTATATATATATATATGTGCACGTGGATATACACAGATTTCTATGAAACTTTGCTCGAAAAAGTTATCCGAAGAAAGATCCACCAAGAGTGGGTGAGTTGTAGTACTCTCATCACCAGAATTTTTGATCCCTGTTGAATTACTGGTTGAAAACGTAACGCATCTATTGATTTTTGGGTCCCTTATTGGGGATATTTCATGTCAAGGAATTGTGGATTGTCTCAACATTGGGAACCACATCTCATGGTTTCTCATCATTATTCAGGGTTGCTCCAAACACCCTAGGTACGTTTGGGGGGTCAGCTGGGTAAATATAGAGATAAAATTACCTATTTCCCCGGAATGGGACTATAATTTACCCTCTGGTAAACTAACATAGCTATTGAAAATGGCCCAGTCGAAATAGTTGATTTACCCATGAATAGCATGGTGATTTTCCCATGAGTTTTTTGGGACTGTTTACCAGAGGCTAATGGGATGGAGCAACCCTGATTTTCCTCGTGAAAAACTTCACCCAAAAAGGGGCGAGGTTCCCATGACATCCCATGACTATGTTAGGTGAAATCCCAACGCCTTGTCCTGTGAAACATCAACCATTGTTAAGCAGTGTTAATATCCAATATATTCCATTATTAACCATTGATAGTGACTGATAGTGTATATTTGTATATCAGATATTATATCAGATATTACATCATAATGATATCCATCAATATATACCATATCTGGTTGGTGGTTTTTCGCCACCCCTTTGAAAAATATGAGTCAGTTGGGATTATAAAATTCCCAACTGAATAGAAAAACCATCCAAATTTTCCAAACCACCAACCAGTCAATCTTTGGGTAAATCCCACGATTTCCTTGTGAAAAACCAAGTTTCTTGATGGTTTTTAATCCAGATTTTTAACGGTCGCATCCACATCTTTGACTTTTTTTATCCCCAACGGATTCAGAGATTCGGAAAAGCTTCGATTGCTACACACTGGTTATGACTAACATAGCCATGGTATAGATGGCCCATAGAAATAGATAGTTTACCTATAAAAAATGGTGATTTTCCATGGCAAACTGTTAGTCATAACCAGAGGGTGCCAACTACTTTGAAATTGGATGCTGGGCTACACTCTGCACCTTTCTGGGGGTTACTATATGTTACTATATTATCGTTGGCTAAATCACCATTGTCGCTGGTTATATTCCCATTAAATCCCCATTTTATCACCACATCCCCATAGTCCCATGAAACCACCATGGAACTTCGGTGAAATCCATAAGTTCAGTGGGTCAAAACCCTTTTTTGATGCTTAAAATATACCATCTGGTTATTTAACATAGCCATGGAAAATAGCCCTTTTTGATAGGTAAACCATCTATTTCTATGGGCCATGGCTTCCATGGCGAACTGTAACAAATAACCAGAGGGTAGTATAACCCGCCCTATGTTTTCAGTCTTTTCACGTCGGGCACCCCAGCCGAGGACAGTGGGATAGTAGAGAGCTGCCTTGGCAGCACCACTTGTCATCTATTGATTCAGACTGATTTAGGATTGGTTTAGAATCATATGCGGTCATTTATAGTGATTGAACCATTGAAAAATTAGGGGATTATCGGTTCGCCCGAAAAAAAAAACACATGATTTAATCGGGGAAAAGTGTGATTTTTTCATCAAAACTTGGGGTCAAAAAGTAGCGGAAGATTGAACTAAATGCCATTCTGGCAATGATTGGAACTTTTTACCCTGGTTCAATCAAATTTCTGGGCACAAGCCTGAATCTGGCAATGATTGGAACTTACCCTGGCAATGATTGGACTTTTTGTGCCCAGAAATGGATGGTCTTCAGCCAACTCCACAACCTCGGCGAATATTTCCGTCAGGAGTTCACCGAGAGATTGACTTGCTGTGCCTAGAAATTGGAAATTACCCGGCCTGCTAAACAGACCCAAAAAACTCATGGGAAAATCAACATGTTTAATGGGTAAAACAAGTATTTCGACTGGGCCATTTTCAACAGCTATGTTAAATTACCAGAAGTTACCACAAAATTGCAATCTCAATCTGAAAATGATGCTAAACAATGAGATTTCTGGGTACTCTAGTTTCAGACAATCCATCTGTTCATTGAAAAATGGGGTCAACAGCCAGATATTACTGGCCACTGCTGCTTGGTCGTTTCACCCTTAAAAATATGTTCGACACTAAGTATCATCATCTTCTTCTTCATCATCATCATCAATTTGATTCAAACAATTACCAGTTCACAAGTGTCCAAATTTAACTTTTCATGAAGCGCTAGAGCTCTCAGAGGCGGATTCGGAAACAGGAAGTTTCAGAGGAAAAACCGAGAATGCTAAGGATCACTCGCGCCTACACAGCTCCACCCGCAGATTGCCACCCTTGACCCTGGTCTCATTCAGCAACTCTTGGTGATGTTGTACAGGGCGCTGTTGGGAGTGTCTTGGATGTCCGCCACCAAAAGTCTCGGCCGACCAGATGTGTGCAACCACCGTTGTTACATGGTAGGTCGTGCTTCACAGTGACGACGTTCGAGGGTTCAGTCGACTTACCCTTGGTCACAAGCCTGCGTCCCACTTCCAAAATCTCCCGCAAGGGACTGTTAAAGCACATTTGGTCAATATAATCCTTCAAGGAAAAATTGTGGGATGATGTGGGCAAACATACCGAATATTAAATTCTATATATAATATGTATTATATAGGATATTACAGATTATAAATTGTATATTATATATATTATTACATATTATATATTACATATTGTATATTATATATTATATATTATATATTATAAATTTTATATAATATATAATATATTATATATATTATTACATATTATATATTATATATTTATATATTATATATTATATATGATATATTATATATTATATATTATATATTATATATTATATATATTATACTATATATTATATATTGTATATATTATATTATATATTATATATGATATATTATATATTATATATATATTATATATTATATATATTATATTAGATATTATATATATTATATTATACATTATACATTATATATTATATATATTATATATTAAATATATTATATTAAATATTACATGTCATATATTAAATAGTATACACTATACATTATATATTAAGAATTATACATTATATATTATACATTATACATTATATATAATATATTATATATCATATATTATATATTATACATTATACATTATATATTATATATTATATATCATATATTATATTTTATATATAATATGTAACATAATATGTATATATATATGTACATATGTATCATAGAAATCATAAATCCTCAAACATTCCTGATTCATCATCATCATCATCGTTCATCATCATCATCATCATCATCACCAACATCATCATACCATCCCAACAACATGCAAATATCATCTTCAAAAATAGAATCATAATCATAATGCTACCCTCGGGCAATCAAACATGGCTTGCGGGAAAATGCCAAATTTCTAGATGGATTTCCCAGCTAGAAAAGATCGTTTAGTTCGGGGATTTCCCAGGCAGCCATGCTTGATGACATCAGAGCGTAACAAATAATCTTGATTATCCATTAATTATCCATCAACTATCCATTATTATGTGGTATCAGTAATTGTTAATCGTCCATTATCCGTTAATTATCCATTAATTATCCATTAAACATCACTATACCTTAACTATCCATTTTTCTTATCACTTATCTTCCAAGGTGAGCCCCAGCTATGTTTGTTCCCGTGAACTCGATCCTTCACTCAGTCAACTCGTGAAGGGTGGCCGTCCTTGCGGCGCCTTGTAGCCAGTAAGATTTATACCATGGACATGCCATTAATTGTTGACAAACATTGCATGTTTAATAATGGTTAATAGTGGTTAATAATGGTTAATAATGGTTAATAGTGGTTAATAATGGTTCATGATGGTCAATCATGTTTAATAATGGTTATATATAATAGTGGTTACTGATGGTTAATCATAGGTATTAATCAATGGCCATGATGGGATATGATAGGATATGATGGGTATGATGCTATAACAACCACAAATAGGGAGTTTTACCAGCAATTTTGTGGGATATAATAGGATAATATGATATAATATGGATATTCTTTAATGGCCATGACTCAGGATCCTAAATTTGCTTGGAGGTACGTTAGTACCATATATAAGGCCTATTCTTTAGGGCTATGTTTTAGGGGATATCCCCACAAAATATGGCCAAAAATATGGTACGTAAAAACGTAGCTCCATTCTACAGGATCCTGATATCTCCATTGATAATTGTTGACAAACATTGCATATTACTGGTATAAATATTACCCTCTGGTAAATTAACATAGACCCTGGCAGATAGGGGTTGGAAGACTAGTTTCCATTAAAAATTGGCTATTTTCAGGGTCTATGTTTATTTACCATAAATATTACTGGTATAAATATTACTGGTATAAATTATTACTCACAAGGCATGTCAATGGTACTTTTATACTATTGCAAACATTGACAAACATGGCAAAACATGATTTATCCCATACTATGCGCATAAAAAAATATCAATTCACTATGCAGTGTTGTTTATGTACCCACTAGTTTAATCCCATTTAACCAACAAATCTCAAACCATTAACTATCCATTCACTATCCAGTATTGTTATCAGGTGTCTTGTATACCCACCATAGCCTCTGGTAAACTAACATAGCTATGGATGATTAATAGGTATATCAATTATCAATGGAGCATTTTCAACAGCAAACTGTTACAAATTACCAGAGGGTAAATGATAGTCCCATTCCGGATACATAGGTAATTTTATCTCTATATTTACCCAGTTGACCCCCCAAACGTACCTGGGGTGTTTGGAGCAACCCTCATGTCAAACCATAGATCCACCATAGATCCCATGAAACCAATCAGACTGAAATCGCCATGGCACGCGCAGCTGGTAATCCACGGGTCTTTCAAGGCCTGAAATCGTCGGAAATCGTCGCGTTTTGAAGCGGAATTCGAGGCCCCTTGGTGATGTTTGCAGGTTTATAAACTCATCCAACTATAAAACACCATAAACAAGACTTAACCTATAAACTAACTATATGCGAAATTATGTGAAATTATGGAATAATCACGGGAGAGGTATGCGATAATCATGGGATTATGGGATAATTTTGGGAGAATCCTGATATAATCACGGGATAACTACAATAATTTTGAGTAACCCCAACGGAACTACCAAGGATTATTGATGGAACTTCTGAGGTTACCTGAAAAATTGGTGGTCATGTTTTTCTATGTGAAGAGTTCCTATGGCTAACCTGGTGCCCTCCCCGATTGGGCTTTGCTAAAATAGCCTGGTAGCCCTGTGTTGGGATGATGTCCATGAGGTCTCGAAATAGGTCAAGTGCTGCTTCTTAACATGAAATCTGACTGGTGCGTTTTACGCAGGGAATTTGAAGGAATGATCCATTTCATCACTAGTAAAAATCATCCCATTCCCCCATTCTCATCCATTCCCTACGTAAAACGCGCCAGTAAGAAATGAGTTGTACCCACCCTGGTGGCTGTTCATCACCCTGATAAATGGATGTTCAAACAAATGGCAAAATGGCTGTTGATTTCGCCCCAAGTGACCCCCTAAATGTTTGTTACGGGGATTGTTTGCGACAGGGTCCACCACAGTGGCTGATATCCCTACTTTTGTTGGCTTCATAAGGCCGAATGACCAGTACTTGTCTGATTGGCTTCTTTAAGCCAATCATTGGTATTCTCCGAGTCTGAGGCTTCGAACTTAAACTTCGAAAACAAAAAAAACAACCAAACAGCCAAGTAGTGGCTATATTGTCCATTTCTGCTAGTCCTATCCCCTTTGCTGGCTGGTGAATTCCCTGTTTGTTGTTGAAACCACCAACCAGTCTTTCAGCCAACTTTTTGTGGAGTTAAAGAATGCGTTTGTTTTGTGAGTTGGATTTCCACAATTTTTGCCAGATTCAGTTGACATTTTGGAGTGCCATTTCTGGCTCCATTTTGAACCCCAAGCCTATTTAAATCTGTGGATAAGTTCAACTCATTTCAGGCGACTGAACACATAAGTTCAGTTGAACTGAACACCTGGATAAGTTCAAACTCAAATATTCAAACATTTCAGGAATCGCAGTTCGATTCAGTCCAAAGTTCATTCGAATCTCGGATTTTCTGCAGATCCGGAATTCAGAAGGCGTCCCAACTTGGAGTGACTCAGATGTGGGGATGGGTCAAAACCCTATCCCCCTGTAGTTCACATCAAAATAGCTGGTAAATGGATGCTCATCCCCCTAACAAATGGTATGTATAGCTATTGATCCATACCCATGTCCCAACTTGGAGCAAGAACCAAACTCAGTGCCTCCTTGGCCGAAAGCCTTTGATCCACATTCTTTTGCAGGAGCTTTCGAATGAGGTCCTAGGGCATCTGCGGCATCGATGTCGACTCAAACAAACTTATTGGGCTGTTTTTATGGGGTGAAAGGGTTGATAGGGTATACAACCAATCAAAAATGACAATATATAACATAATATAACTATATCCTGCTATACCAGTGATATAAATAATTTTTGCTGGTGGGTGATATCTGAATTTGTCTGAAAATTGAATGGAAGCAAAAAAGACTCAACCCATTAAGCCAACATTCACTCTGACAAGCCCAGAAGTTTGAGGAATAGCAACCAAAACTGCACCGGAGTTGTTTGGATCAAAGGGTGCCCAGAGGGATTGTTTAGAACTGAAACTTACTAAAGCTGCAATCTTGAGCCATCCTATCCTTATCTTTGGGCAGCAAACATGCTTGGATTGACTAGACTAGACATTTTCTTTGGTCAAAGCACATGATTTGTTGCTTCAGCACAACTCTACAGTTACTCACCAGTTTGATTATGATAAGTATATACTGCACCTCTTGTTTTTTCCCCACAGCTTATGTCTGGTGATAAGTACAGTAAGTATCCCTACTCCATAAAGCAGGGTGTCCCAATCTACCAACCCACTCAACCCACTTCAAATCAAATTAGAAACGAAGCAGCAAAACTCTTGCCCCGTCACCCCCACATTTCTGGTCCTTAGCGCCTTTCGAGACTTTCTGAAAAATCTCTGGAGGAAAGCCGTACTTCCCACTGAGCACCTTTCACACACGCAAAACTGGGAGATTTTGTAAACTGGAAAAAAGGTGGACATCGAAGCTACAGACCTAGTAGGTGGATGGTTGCGAAATCCTGCACCAGTTCATAGGTGGTAAACATATCATTACATTGCCAATCAGCCAGATACCCTGCAAAAAATGACAAATTCTTTGCTGGTTAGTAGATATTACCATTAATACCAAAAGACTAGAGGATTAGTTTCTAGCCATCTAAGATTGACCAGATATTCCATAGATATTCCCATTGTTGTTGGTTTATAGCCTATGAACACCACTATTAACTATTGACCTAGATTATAGGGTTTCAACCATCCAAGGTGCAGGATTTCGCTGGCCCATTCACAGTTAATGTGGTTTCTTCCCGGTTCGGAACGGGTCAAAACTGGGACAGCGTAGTCTGGGAAGCTTGCAGATGGAGGACAGCAAAGATGGAACCTAGGGAAAGCCTGACAAACGATGTTGATTTTGCAAAATGGAAATGGCAAATGATAGTAACAAGAATAGATGATGATGAGATGATAGTAATAATACCCACAGGCCCCTTGTGTTGCCCAAGCCCAGAATAGCGTAAATTACAAGGATTTTTTGTTCACACTATACATCTCATATAAATTCTCCCACCCCCGTTAAACTCTTACATTCATTGAAGATTTTCAATAAGGGTTTAATTCTCCCACCCCCGTTAAACTCTTCCATTCATTGAAGATCTTCAATAAGGGTTTAATTCTCCCACCCCCGTTAAACTCTTCCATTCATTGAAGATCTTCAATAAGGGTTTAATTCTCCCACCCCCGTTAAACTCTTACATTCATTGAAGATTTTCAATAAGGGTTTAATTCTCCCACCCCCGTTAAACTCTTCCATTCATTGAAGATCTTCAATAAGGGTTTAATTCTCCCACCCCCGTTAAACTCTTACATTCATTGAAGATCTTCAATAAGGGTTTAATTCTCCCACCCCCGTTAAACTCTTACATTCATTGAAGATCTTCAATAAGGGTTTAATTCTCCAACCCCCGTTAAACTCTTACATTCATTGAAGATCTTCAATAAGGGTTTAATTCTCCCACCCCCGTTAAACTCTTACATTCATTGAAGATCTTCAATAAGGGTTTAATTCTCCCACCCCCGTTAAACTCTTCCATTCATTGAAGATCTTCAAAAAGGGTTTAATTCTCCCACCCCCGTTAAACTCTTCCATTCATTGAAGATCTTCAATAAGGGTTTAATTCTCCCACCCCGGTTAAACTCTTCCATTCATTGAAGATCTTCAATCATCATCATCATCGTCATCATCATCATGAAATTTGCCGGGAACGTCCCTGTAAACTTCCGGGCAACACAAGGGGCCTGGCCGACAGTAGATGACAATAAAGATAATGATATTGATATTCATTGTGATGTGTACATAGCTATATCATAACGATGCTCGATGATGCTCGATGCTATAATATGGGTTATTAAAAAATCGACAAATGAAACTGTCCTATGGCTTTGCTTGGTGGCATGACTGATTCCCAGAGACTTAAGAGAAGAATGTGCAGCAAACCCTGACGTTTGATCGTTTGGTACCATGATTTCAGCGGTGTCACAAGTCCATCGTAGAAAATTCGAGTTCTATGGATAGACCCTTGAGAACATTTCCGTGGACAGCCAGGACTGCCATATACATATATACATGCGGTTTGTAGCATGACTACATACTCGTGCTCTTGCCCCACACATGTACATCACTATTACTATTGTCAAACATGTTGTGGGATGTAGAGACTCGGATCGTCAGCGCGTTGGAGCCAAACAAGACATTCCCAGCCTTTGAAAAGGTGTTTTCTTGCATCGAAAGCCAGAGGTTTTTGTTTAGATTCACCCATGAATATGTCAAACTATCTATGACAAACCTGAGTTACTCACATAAATTCACAGCATCAACACTAGTTTCACTAGTTTTTTAGCTGGCCCTGGTCGACAAAAATTGGCCAGGCCTAGTTTTTATGGTCGAAAACAGCTCTGCTGCTCTGCAGTGTCCGACCTTTGGAATCCCTGCGGCCATGGTTTTTTCACATCTTGGGCTCATTTAGATCACATCTTTCGATGCCCTCTGGTAAACTAACATAGCTATTGAAAATGGCCATTGATAGTGGATTTTCCCATTAAAAATGATGATTTTCCATAGCTATGTTAAATTACCAGAGGGTACATGTTGCAGGTTCCTTGAATCCAAAAAAAAACGTTGGACGACTAGGACAATTTTTCTGGGGAAAGTTGAACGGTCCATTTGGTAAGTCTTGGCCCATCCACCAACAGCCCGGACTTGGTTGGCCTTTTGGAGTGTATCCTTGGTCCTTTCCTCAGCAATTTTCTGGGGACTCAGGATGACCATGGCTGGGATTTAATGAAATTACCCATTGAAAATGATGATTTTCCATGGGATTTGAATGGGACTTTATGGTGATTTTAATGGGAGTAATGGAACTTACCATCTGGTAAACATACAAAAAACTATTGAACATGGTCATAGACATAGTTGATTTACCCATTAATAGCATGGTGATTTTCCCATCAGTTTTTTGGATGTTTACTAGAGGGTAAATCCCCGAACCAAATGGTGATTTTGATGCCATAACCAGGGATGTTCCATTGGTCAGATTGTCTCAGAGGCTACATGAGACAACTTGTGAGACTGTCACGATCCAAGAGGAACCATATCGATCATCATCATCATCATCATCATCATCATCATCATCTGAAACCAATCCGGAAAACCAGGTCAGCAACTGCTCTGCCTCCAGGACTTCAAACCTCACGACCCATCGGTGTGTTTTCCAAGCGTCTTCCTTGAAGGGAAACATGCCCGAGAGCAGAATGTACCTGGACTTCTCCACGGTGTTCCAGGAGAACTACCCCCTTTTTTTTCACCATTCGGGGACATCCACTCTCTATGTCATCCCATTCTAGTAGTCTAGGCTTTATATATATATATATTTATATACTATTGCCAGCTATCTTGCCGCATCTTTACCGATCATACTTGGTTATATCTCGATTCAGTGACCTGCTGATCTTTGCCGCTAGTAAACCATCCCCCTCCGGTTCTTTGGTATATAATATGCTATGATATGCTATGGAAAATGGCCCATTTATTGATGATTTATGGATATTTATGGTGAATTCCCCCTTCAAAATTGTGGTTCACCACTCCAAACAGTAAAATAACCAGCCGGGCACCCAGAATTTCCAAGACCCAAACACTCAACTCGTCGACCCCTTGTGAACCGCTTCCAGATTCAGGTCTTTGGCAACTCCATTTCAGCCCTGTCTGCTCTGAGAATATGAGCTAAGCTCACAGGGCGTTAATCCCCGGAGGGGGTTGTGTATGGAGATGATCAAAAAGTTCTGTGTGGATATTGATTCATCACGTGATCACCGCAAGCTATGACCAGGTCAATTCCAACTCCGTAGCCGTGCTGCATGCGATGTCCTTTTGGTAAAAATAGAGGGGCCGGTTTGGTATACCATCTATCATCATTTACCTGTTGTTAAAGGGGTAAACAAACCCCTCTATGAATCAACCAACCAATGGGAAAAGGACATCTATGGTCCTTCGATGGTTTTTTGTGGAGTAGTTCTTGTCTGCGAGTGTGGAACTTGTCGGGCGACAAGCAAACTAATGCATCCTTCTCCAACACATTCAGCGCGATGTCGTTTGTGGAATGCCCACGCTCCTCCTCTCCCTTTAGATCTGCTGAAAACAAGATGAAGCCCACGAACCCGAATGCTCACACGTATGTTAATGGCACAGATGTCAAAACACATGGTTATGCAGTCACGCACAATACCTTTCTGCAATAGTTTATTTGAACAGTCTTGTGCATGTTTCCCTTGTTACCAGTCTGCAGTGTGGAGTGGAAAGTGTAGAGTGTGGAGTGTGGAGTGGGAAGTAAGGAGTGTGGAGTGTAGAGTGTGGAGTGGGGAGTGTAGAGTGTGTAACGTGTAGAATGCGGAGTGTAAAGTGTAGAGTGTGGAGTATGGAGTGTAAAGTGTAGAGTGTGGAGTGTAGAGTGTGGAGTGTAGAGCGTAGAGTGTGGAGTCTGGAGTGGAAAGTGTAGAGTGTGGAGTGAGGAGTGTAAAGTGTGGAGTGTGGAGTGTAAAGTGTGGAGTGTAAAGTGTGGAGTGTGGAGCGTAAAGTGTAGAGTGAGGAGTGTGGAGTTTGTAAATTGTAGAGTGTGAAGTGTAGAGTGTAAAGTGTAGAGTGTAAAGTGTAGAGTGTGGAGTGTGGGGTGTAAAGTGTGGAGTGTAAAGTGTAGAGTGTGGAGTGTAAAGTGTGGAATGAGGAGTGTAAAGTCTGGAGTGTAGAGTGTGGAGTGTGGAGTGTAAAGTGTAGAGTGTGGAGTGTGGAGTGTAAAGTGTGGAGTGAGGAGTGTAAAGTGGAAAGCGTGGAGTGTAAAGTGTAAAGTGTGGAGTGTAGAGTGTATAGTGTAGAGTGTAAAGCGTAGAGTGTGGAGTGGAAAGTGTGGAGTGTAAAGTGTGGAGTGTGGAGTGTAAAGTGTGGAGTGTAAAGTGTGGAGTGAGGAGTGTAAAGTGTGGAGTGTGGAGTGTAAAGTGTGGAGTGTGGAGTGTTGAGTGGAAAGTGTGGAGTGTGAAGTGTGGAGTGTAAAGTGCGGAGTGAGGAGTGTGCATGGGGTGTGGAGTGAGGAGTGTAAAGTGTGGAGTGTGGAGTGTAAAGTGTGGAGTGTGGAGTGTAAAGTGTGGAGTGTGGAGTGTAAAGTGTGGAGTGTGGAGTGAGGAGTGTAAAGTGTGGAGTGTGGAGTGTAAAGTGTGGAGTGTAAAGTGTAAAGTGTGGAGCGTGGAGCGTAAAGTGTAGAGTGTGGAGTCTGGAGTGTAAAGTGTGGAGTGTAAAGTGTGGAGTGAGAGTGTAAAGTGTGGAGTGAGGAGTGTAAAGTGTGGGGTGTGGAGTGGGGAGTGTAAAGTGAGGAGTGTAAAGTGTGGAGTGAGGAGTGTAAAGTGTGGAGTGTGGAGTGTGGAGCGTAAAGTGTAGAGTGTGGAGTCTGGAGTGGAAAGTGTAGAGTGTGGTGTGTAGAGTGTGGAGTGTGGTGTGTAAAGTGAGGAGTGTAAAGTGTGCAGTGAGGAGTGTAAAGTATAAAGTGTGGAGTGTACAGTAAAGTGTGGAGTGTGGAGTGCGGAGTGTGGAGTGGAAAGTGTAGAGTGTGGAGTGTGGAGTGTAAAGTGGGGAGTGTGGAGTGTAGAGTGTGGGGTGAGGAGTGTAAAGTGTAAAGTGTGGAGTGTAAAGTGTAGAGTGTGGAGTGCGGAGCTTCCCCCATAGACACGGCGACGCCACAGGAAAACCAGAGACTCGAAACGAGATACGTGGGTGCAAAAAAACGAGCATTTCGTGCGAGACTTCCGCCAATTTTGATATTTTCCACATGTTATCAAACAGGTTGGAATGTCACAAAGTGCCATGCCTGCCACGCAAAACGACATGACAACCTGCTTGGAAACCTTGGAAAAGGAGAGGTTTTGCAGCTTCCCTCATAGACACTGCGAAGCCACAGGAAAACCAGAGACTCGAGACGAGACACGTGGGCGCAAAAAAACGAGCATTTCGTGCGAGACTTCCTCCAAGCTTGATATGTTCGACACGTTATCAAACAGGTTGGAATGTCACAAAGTGCCACGCCTGCCACGCAAAACGACATGACAACCTGGGACACATTCGAATCGGAGAGGTTTTCCAGCTTCCACCATAGACACGGCGACGCCACAGGAAAACCAGCGACTCGACACAAGACACGTGAATGCAGAAAAACCAACATTTCGTACGAGACTTCCTCCAATTTTCACAGTTGGCAACATGACAAAAGGACAAGTTTTGCAGCTTCCCCCATAGACACGGCGAGGCCACAGGAAAACCAGAGACTCGAGACGAGACAGTTGGGAGCAACAAAACGACCATTTCGTGCGAGACTTCCTCCAATTTTCATACTTTGCAGCTCCAAAATCGACGTTTTCCTACGAGTTTTCCTTAGAACCTGAAAATTTGTAACCTCAAAATCGATGTTTCGTGCGAGGCTTCCGTCAATTTTCAACACATGTGAGAAAATGCCACGCCTGCCACGGAATTTGCACCTTGTCACCACTTGACGCAGCCCTGCCAATGCGATTTACAAAAACCACGCCACAGGACGCGTCTAAAGTGCTGCGCCTGCCACGAAAAATGACGATGCACGCGTCCAAAGTGCTGCGCCTGCCACGAAAACTGCAACACATCTTCTGAAAACGTCGCAAAAGTATTGCGCCTGCCACGCAAAACGACTTTCGACACGTTGCAGAACACGTCTGAATGTCACGAAGTGCCACGCCTGCCCCGCGAAACGAAGCAACCAGACGTCTGAAACCTCCAAAAAGGACCACCTCTGTAAAACTTCCCATAGGCACGGCCATACGGTCCTCACGCGAACGGTTGCGGACGGTTGCGAACGGTTGCGCTCGCGAACGCAACGTCTAGCGAACACACCCTCAACCCCCAGACCCCCAGAGTGAAACGGGAACCCTTGCTACGCATTCGGGAAAAATAGTTGTTGCATCTTATACACACATGTGTATGTATATATCCATATTATGTTGAGGATTTCCTTACTTGGGATTTTGATGGCATGAGAAACCAACTCCAAGTTGGCCCCGCGTACCGTACGCTCCTCTTGGGAGCTGCTCGCTCCCCTGCCTGTTTTCATTCTCATGCGAATTTTGATACTACTTGTATTTGGGATGGTTGTGATGAACTCGGTCACTGGGATCATATTGCTTGGACTTGTCCTTATCGACCGTCCTCGCTTACTTGTTGTGATCATATGTCTCGCCGTTTCGGATGGTGGAAAGTTGGGGATACCATGGAATGTGCCGACTGGCTTTCTAAAGTGGTTTCTAGAATTTGGGAAACCAGATATCCTAAGGGTGTTGGTTATATAATGTGTCTTTGGACTTTCTAAGGATTCTGACTAAGGATTTCTCCTTTGTTTAGGTTTGCGATGGCGCTTCGGCGCCGTCCTCGATGTGCAGCGCATCTCCTTGGCTCTGCCACATCGCCCTAAAGTACTACTACTAATTCACTAACCGGGCATCTTCCGCCATTTTGGGAGAGTTACCCATCGACATATGTAATATATATATATATATATGAATAAATAAATAAATAAATAAATAAATAAATACACAATTAAATAAATAATAATAATCATCATCATCATCATTCACGTCGTGACATCGCAGCGAGGTCGTCATAATCTATCCAGATAATATATGTGTATGTATGTATATGTTATATGCATATGAAAGTTAGTATGTGTGTATATATATATACATGATTTTGTATGTATATATCATGTATCCGACCCCCACTTATATTGAAGGACCTATTCAAGGGTGACCCAGAGTCTGGTTCTGATGGAGAGTCCCTCAATCCAGATCTCCCACTTATTGCGGGCACATGATGACACCAGCACTCCAGCAATCCACTTTTTCCGTATACCTCTGGCCGACCAGGAATCGTCATGGCATGGTTCGGAAAAAAAGCGTCTCAGCGAATGTCTGTCTAGTGCTGAATCATCCATTTTTGGGCGGCTACAGTAGATTTGAACCAGAAAACCTACCAGCCATGTTCTAAGTGATATCGTCAAATCTACATGGGTAAAGGTAGGGCCTCCTGGTATGACGTTTCCCATTCAGAAAAGAACTGATCCAATCAGGTCCACAATTCCTGCCCAGAGTTTCACAGTCTCCTGCATATGCATACAAGCATAAAGTGTTCAGTGTATGTAGGTGTGTATGTATACATAATATATATATATGATTATATATGATTATACATGATTATACATGAGTGTTTGCATTATATCTGGTTAGTGGTGTTAACCATCTTGAAAAATGTGAAAGTCAATAGGAAGGATTATCCCATATATTATGGAAAATAAAAAATGTTTGAAACCACCAACCAGATATGCGATCGTGCACTCTCGCACAGTTAATGGGGAAAGACTGGGTATCTCTCCAATGAGGCGCGGGTCAAAATACAGGATCCAAAAGTCAGAGAATGTGCGGTGCTTAGTCTTTACCTGGTTGGTGGTATACCTACCCCTCTGAAAAATATGAGTCAAATGGGATGATGACATTCCCAATATGATGGGAAAAATAATCCATTCATGTTCCAAACCACCAACCAGTTACCATCCGATGTTTGGAAGACATGCAAGTTTGACCCACACTGATCTTTTGGCGTCGAAGATGAAGTATTCAACAGTACACAACATCGATCCTCGCCTCGGAAAGCGTGTCACAACCTCGGGAGCCACGTAGTAGGGCCTGGCCACAGTAGGCTTTTCGGGCACTGTGGGATGTCAGTCTAAAGTGGCGATCAAGAGAAATCGGGATGATATGGACTTTATCAATTTAAGTGATGTCACTCGTTAATACATGTCTGTGCACATACATACATCTAATATCACCTAATATCTGTATATACATATATTATTAATTATGTATATATATATATACACAATGCGGGTCGTATAAGAGATGGTATGAGAAAACACCAAATGGGACCTATTACATAGATAGAGCATATGTATGTCATATAAACATAGAGACACGTCAACATAAATCAATCAATCACGGAGCAGTTGCAAATCCGAAACAGAAATCGATTTCAACCCCAAAGTGTTCATGAAAATCAGAAATTGTATAGGAATGACCTGTATCGGCAAAAGATTGGAAGATCAAAGAGAAAAATCGATCGCTTGGGGTCCCCAAGTTGGCAGTCCATAAATGAAATGGGAGGTTCCCAAAATGGTGGTACCCAAGAATGAATGGTTTCTAATTTATTGCGGAAAAATCTATTAAAAAGGGATGATTGGGGGTACCCCCATTTCAGATCCTTTTAGGAAACCTCCAGATGGTTTAGCACCAAAATGACAAGCCTCTCTGGCCTAAAACATGGGTCTTCCATCTGTGATGGCCGTACAAACTGTCGCAGATGATATCCCAAAAAATGCCATTCGATACGCATCATCGCTACTTATATGACACTGTCCTGAAATAGGGGAACCCCTATATAGATTATCCATGTTACCCTCTGGTAAACTAACATAACTATGGAAAATCACCATTTTCAATGGGTAAATCCACTATAAATGGTCATTTTCAATAGCTATTTTGACATAACCAGAGGCTATTTTCGGAGTTTCCCTATAAAACATCCAGCGATAAAGGGATACCCCCAATTCAGGAAGCCCCCATATCATATCTGGCGGTACAATAAGCATATTGAAAAATGATGGACTTCGTCAATGGGTTTCGGATGACATTTTCATTTCCATGTGCTGCAAAGGAGTCTTTGCTCGGTCTTGCACTGTGGCCTAGATGCTACTCTGTACAGAGGAAGGGTCAACCGTAGTAATCTGGTTGGACTACATCTTCCTCAACAAAATCATTCGCAACCAGGTCCTCGAACTCAGCGGGAAGCTGCTGAGCTGGCGACACTGGGAAGGTGCGCTGAACAAAATCTGCTACCGCCTGTGCAATGGCCCTGTTGAGGCCCACGGGGTAGACTTTGCCCCTAGCCGTCTTGAAGGCCCCGTCTGCTTCGTGACCTGCTAATGCCTCGTGGGCCGAGGCTCCGTGACAGCATCGTCCCATACACCCTGTGGTCAGGATTTGGTGCCTCAAGTGCGGAAGGCGCAAGTGCAAAATTGTTGTTGGTTTCTTGGCCCGGCAGCCAAAGATACACTGATCGAAGCTGGTGACACCGATGGCTGCCAGCGTCCGGAGGAGACGCATGGCTGCGTGGGTCCAGACACTTGACGGATCGAGCTCTTTTGCCCACGTCGGGTACTGCGGATGCTCAATAAAAGCGCACCCTCCGGTCATGGCTAAGACCAGCACCACGTCGATGATGAACTCATCAGTCTGGACCCTATGAGCACCTGTCTCCATGCTTTCAACGGAATGTTGGGAATCCCGTTCGGCCATGTGCCTGACCGCACTGGAGGGGGGCCCCCCTGCAGGAGTCTCGCAGCGGAAAAGGATTCACATGGGGGGCCCCCCCCGGCGCCGCACACTTGTCCAGATTTTATGCGGTCAATCCACCATGCCACTGATGATGATGATGATGCTAGGTCCCCTCTTTCTCTTTGTAGGCACATGTCCACTGAAAGTACAAACAGTTGGTGGCCCTGGGGAATGGTGAGATGCTCTAACAGATCATGGAGGTCACCCCGTCTGCGGTATCCTGAAAAGAAGTGCACAAAAACCTGGGTGCGGATGTGCAATCGGGCTGTCTCTCTTGCCAGCCCATACAGCGAGAATCTGCCATCCCCCTGGTTCATACCCGATGCTGATTGGTAGAGAAAGGCTGGGAGGTCGTCCTCAAAAAGGATGACTCGGGGTGCCGGGGTCTCATGCTTTGCCACGGCATGCCCTTGCAACTGCTCGAAGCCTGAGCCAGCAGTCGGATTGCGCAGGCTCCACTTGCGAAACATCTGTGCGGCTTCTGGCGCACCCGCTGGGGGCAAACATGGGCCCAGGATTTTGCGCGCCGGTGCCAAAGCTTTGGCGGCGCCCCAACCTTGTGCGCGCAGTGCAAGGGTAGTTTCGTGGTCAGCTGTGTCAAACGCTACTACCTGCTCATCGGACAAAGGTGGGAAGCAAGCTTGCAGGGTCTGCAGGCATTCTGTGGCATCCCGTAGGTGCTCGATAAGCCGCTTGCGTGTGGCATAGGTCTTTGCACAGGCGTTGCAAGTCTGGTCAATGGCATAAAATTTGACCAGGCGTCGGTACCCGTGGGCGCGACCAGCGTGCGTCGCCAGTGCCCGCTTAGACGGGAATGCTTTTTGGCACTGGTCACAAACCCAAGTTTCGTTCTGAGTGGCTTGGACCTGGGGCAGTGTGCCTCCTGCATCAACAAACCTGGCTTGGAAAGCCTTTAGCCAAATGTGCTCCTCCGCATTGGCTTGTCGGAAACTCAGGCAACCCCTGGCTGCTTTCTTGAGCCGCCCGCTCCAGTTACCATCCAGCGCCACATAGGTGATCCACGCTGTGGTGTCTGCGGTGTCGGTTGGGGCACCAGGAACCTGGTAAAACTGCAAAAACCATGCAAAAGAAGACTTGCAAAGGTCCAGCCAACTATTGGGCCATGCTCCTGTCTGGTATAGCAGGTTCCACAAGGTCTGTGGGCAGTACTTCAACAGCCGTTTGAGGTACCTGAGCCTGGCCACATGCAGTTGATCCGTGGGCGGCAAAATCTGGGCGAGGGCAAACAGGTCAATGGTGTCAACCTTGACCGGGGCTATCCCTTTGAGCAGGGGCTTGGTCATCAAGCCCAGTGGTTTCCGGAGTTTTTGTTGCCATGTGGCAAGGAGGTCCTCGGTGACCACAATCCATGTATGTGCATTGTACATCATTCTGGACATACTGAGGGATTGGAAGGCAGTGGTTTTGGCCTTGAGACCAACATGCCGTTTGTGATAGAAGGATCGTGCAAGGCATCCCCAGCTCTGCATGGCAAGTGAGGCTCGTTGGGCAATTTCTCTTTGGTGGTAACCTCCCGTCTGCATCCATGACCCAAGATGTTTGTAGGAGTGAGATACTCGGAGGTGAAAAGTATCTTCCTCCTGCTGCCAAGAGAGCCATTGACCAGAGTCGTGCAGACGCTCTTTCAAGGCTTTGGACCCTTTCCCCAGGATGTCCCAGAGAGCTTCTGTTTTGCCCTGGCTGAAGTTCACCTCTAACCCTCGCGCCCTGGCGGCCGCATGAAAGGATTCTACTACAAGCTTAATGAGGGCCTCTACTTCCGGCAGAGTTTCAGCATGGATTGCCACTGCGACGTCATCAACAAAGGACACGTCAAAGTAGGCGTGACATGGGACTTCGTCGGCGTCAGCAAAGGAGCTGCAGTGCGTGGGCACTCCCAGCCAAATGGCTTTGGATTCTTGTTGGACTTTCGCATGCATGTCATGCAGGACCAAACGCATGATCAAGTTGAACAACAGGTCTCCCAGCGGGTCGCCAGGCCTGGTCCCCCGCGTGGTGTGGCAAACTCCTGGAACCCCCTCCACGGTGAAGAAGGTATTATGCATGCAGTCATGGATCAGCTTCTCGGTGTGAGCTGAGGCATTCATGATGGCATGGTCGGAGCTGGCTTGCTTCAACCACATGTCAATCAGCTGAGTGGGGATGCCCCAACTATGCAGAGCTGATGCAACTGGCTGAGAGTCCAGCGGGTCAGCCAATAGGGCTTGACGGAGCACCGAGTAAAAGGCCGATCTCAGGTCGAAAAAAACCACAGCTGACGGCAGTTTTTTCTTCCTACACCAGTACTGATGGGCTTCCACCATGTGATGTGCAACATCAGTGCCCATTGATTTTCTGCCACCTACTTGCAACAAGTCCATGCTTGCTGTCCAAGGCCTTTCCAGTTGACTGCGCAGCATTCTGTGGTAGAGCTTGGATGTGTGATCAGAGATGTAGATGGCTCTGTAGGCGGCTGGGTCCGCTGTGGAGTCACGCCCTTTATAAAGTGGCACCAATTTGCCTCCCTTCCAGGATGAGGGTTCTTTCGCGTGTGCCACGACCTTAGTGGTAAGGGCTGCGAAATGCTTTGAGAAGGTACTACCCCCGGCCTTGAGAAGACAAGGTGTGATGCCGTTGGGTCCAGGCGCCTTGCCTCTTTTCATTTTGGCCACCGCAGCTTGCAGGTCCCAATCTGTTGGAAAGGCGGCTGCCTCCTGGATGTCCAGGGGCAGATCTGGCATGGTGGCATCGGCATCCCGAAGCGACTCCCAGGTGACCCTGACCCCTGCTTCAATCTTGGCAAATTGGTTCAGCCATAGCATTTGTTGCTGAGCATAGGATGTGACCATGTCACCTTGCCGGGTGCGTAACATGGGTAATGGCTTGGACTGCATGCGTGTTTTGTGCTTACGGCTGCCAAGTCTTGCTAACATGCGAAACATTTGCTTGTGATCAGACAAATGGCCGGCTTCTTGGAGGCGTACCAATATTTGATCAAAGAAGACTTGCAAGTCAGCAGAGACGAGGCGACGAACTGTGCGTTCAATAAGCTTGAGCTGTTCCTTGAACTCGGGGTCGGTCATGGCTGCCCAGGCTCGCCCACAGTCTAGTACATGTCTCTTGAAAGCAATGGCATCTAGTGTGGGGGCACTCAGGGTTGGGCGCCTTCTCGCACCTTTTTGTTTGGTGAAAAATTGCTTGGCCAGTTGGATGTACTGGGTTTCGTACAGCAGGTTGTGCGCATCGGCTGTAACCTCCCAAGGAGGGATAGGCAATGTTGCGAGGGCTTCTTGGAA